CAGGCTGGGACTGGTAGCGGATGGAACTTGCGCTCGATTGACGGCGTAGCTGGCGACTGTCGCGCCGAGAGTAAGAGTCCGTCGATGTCGAGGGAACTCGTAGGCCCCTGTCATGTCGTAGAGGACGCCTGCCATGAATACGCTGAGCGAGCCGCCTATCTGGTGCGACATAGTTGACAGCCCGTGAGTGTGCCGATATTCCTCACGCCGTATATGTCGGCCGTGAGGGAGCTCGTGAGCGGAGCGTGGGCAACCACGACACATTCCGGCGATCCGGCGAAGGACCATATTAGTGCTATGGATGCGGTATGGAGAAGCCCAGAGCATCATCATGAATCCGGCGTGACCAGCATCACAATAGGCGCAGGAAGCGGATGAAGTATATGGTTCCGAGCAGGTTCTTGCGGCTGAACCTGTCGGAGGAATACCTACGACGATTACGGCCGACCACGTTGAGCCCCCTGCATGAAGCCGAAGGCAAGCGCGGCGATGCCGGGCGATATGCCGAGATCAATGGCGAATGGAACATAGTGGGCGGATATGATGATGGTGGTGACGCCGCAGACGAAGTATGCCCCTGAGAGCTGCCAGAATGGAGGCGACCTCTGAGCGAATCCTGCCAGACGGTGGTTTCCAGAGGAGTCCGCTGCCCAGGCGCCGCCTGACGGGGGCCTGACCTTCGAGTGGCTCCGGCGGTGTCGTCGCCCTCGCCGCCGTCAGGAACTTCGCCAACCTGTTCGGGGGTATCGCGCATGATTATCAGCACAATCGGGAGAGCAAGCAGCAGCACGAAAGCACCCAGCGCTATCCAGGCGACGCGCCAGTGGGAGGACAAGATGAGGAAACTCGCAAATGGCGTTAGTATCAGGCCACCCGCAGAGGCGCCGGCTGTCGCGAGGCTGAGCACCATGCCACGCTTGCGGTAGAACCACTTGGAGAGCATGGAGTGGACGGTTACGAACGAGACGCCACTGGTAGCCGTGGACATCACCACGCTATAGATGATGAGGAGGAAGAGCAGAGAGTTGGTTAGCTCGAACAAGCCAAGTATGCTATACTGAACTCAGGCCCGTAGCTTCCGACGAAGGTCAGCGTGAGCGTGCCTGCTCCCAGCAGCAACAGGCTCGCCGAGATCACCGCGCGCCCACCGTACTTGTCGTACAGGCCGCCAAGGAATGGCTGCGTGATAGCGTTAACCAGCGTGCCCAAGCCGATGACCGCTGAAATCGCTGGCGCGGTGTGCTCCATATCTGATCTGCGTTCCATCGGTACGATGAAGACGCCGAAGCCGTTTGCGCGCGCTGTAGAGACGAACCATCGCGAAGAAACCCGGCAGCCAGATGAACCAGCCGTATAGAATATGCGCTTCCCCGCCGAAAACTTTGCTGCAATACGGTCTCCATGAGAAATATACTCGGTGAGATTAACACCGCTACACCGTTTAGCAAGGCGAAAAGTAGGTGTCGTGTCAGACAGAGATAGGTGGGCACATGAGGAACGGAACAGGGGAGTCATCCGCTATGACAAGTAGCGTATAACAGTAGAATCGGGCGTGCGTGATGTGAATCGCGCGACAACTGGGTATGGGAAGGGCTATTGGCACTGCAACTGGCGGGGACATTGACGATGCCACAGGCGCTTGGGGCGCTGCGGTATCGCAACTTCAGGCTGTACTGGTTCGCCGGGATCGGGCAGGCGGCGGCGCTTGGCATGCAGTTCCTTATACTCGGCTGGCTGGTGCTGGAGCTTACGAACTCGCCTTCGCAGCTTGGGCTGGTCATCGCCATATACGGCGCGCCGAACCTCGCATCTGCTATGTTCGGGGGCATCTTCGCGGACAGGGTTGACCGTCGCTGGATGCTGTTTTACAGCCAGGCCATTGTGGCGGCGCTGATTTTCGGCATAGCGACGCTGACGCTGTACCAACTGATTTCCATCTGGCACATATACGGCATAGCGTTCATTCTGGGGACGATACAGGGAGTGAACATGCCGGCGCGGATGGCGATAGTGCCGGACCTGGTAGGCAAGAACGACATCCTGAACGCGACCTCGCTGAACATGGCGGTGTTCAACACGGGACGCATTATGGGGCCGTCGCTCGCGGGCTGGATAATCCAGCACGTGGGAATGGACATGCGCTGTATTCAACCGTTTAGCTATGCCTTAGGTTGCGTGTGCTTGCTGATGATGTCAGGGGTAGAGTCCCGCAGCCAGAACAAGGACGCGAACATGCTGCGCGACTTCTGGGCTGGCATCAAATATGTGGCGATGACACCGATTGCCTTCACGATGGTGGGGATGAGCTTCGCCTTCGGGTTCTTCGGGGCGGCGTATGTGCAGGTGCTTCCGGCATTCGAAAGAGGTGCTGCGGCTGAACGCGGACGGCGCGGGCTTCCTGCTGACCGTGGCGGGGATAGGCTCGCTGGCGGCCAACATATACCTAGCTTCCCTGGGGAACACCAAGAACAAGAACTGGCTACTGCTGGGAATGATAATCCTGTTCGGAGTCAGCCTGTTCTTCTTCGCCCTGTCGCCTATTTACATCGTCTCGCTGGTTCTGCTGTTTTTTACGGGCGTGGGATTTTCACAGGGTTCATCTCGATGGGAACGGCGATACTTCAGATCAGCACAGCGCCTGAGCTTTCGCGGCGCATGATGAGCCTGTGGCTATTGGGGCGGCGGTTTTTTGCACTACATAGGCGCGTGGCCGCTGGCTGTGGTGAATACTACGGCTGGCCGATGTCGCTGTGTGGCGGCGGCGCTTGCTGATGCTGGGACTCGTGATGTGGCTTGGAATATTCAGACCAACGCTGCGGCGTCTGCGGGTCTGACGATGTTCGACATTCATCGTCTGATTCGCGCTGTCAGGTATTCCTACACCGGCTTGCGTGACGCCTTCGTGGACGAGCCGGCATTTCGACTAGAGATACTGCTGTCGTTGATTCTGATTCCGATAGCGGTGTGGCTTGGCGAGGACAATGTGGAGCGGGCGCTGATGATTGCACGCTGATGCTGGTGCTAATCATGGACTGCTGAACTCGGCATAGCGAGCCGCGTGGACCGCGAGTCGGCTCAGGAGTTCGCGACGATCTAAGGGACGGCAGGTCGAAGGCCTAAGGACCTGGGTTCGCTGGCGGCTGTTCGTGTCGCGGCGCTCGTGATCGTGGTGTGGGCGCTGATGCTGCTGAACTAGGGCGCTTTCTCGTAGATGGAGATGTGATATTCGCTGGCGGCGGTGAACGGCGAGCCGTCCCAATCGCCCCAACGTCACGCTCGCAAGCGCATGCCTGCAAGTTGCCGCCATCATGTCAGCTCGGTGGGCAGGAGTAACGCCACTGCACAGATAGAGCTATCGCATGCCTGACTCGCTGACGAACAGGTGCTGCGAGTGGACAAGCTGGTTCACTGGGTCGTGGCTGGATATGTCCAGTGATACTAAGTCGGACTCAACTCTGCCCGCGCTGATATTCCGGTTGCGGACGAGCGCGGTTGGGGTCGGAGCACGTAATGCTCTCGACTAACGAACACTTCACGCGCGTCGTCAGTGAAGTGCGCCGCCGCGCTGCGGAAACACTGCACCTGCGCCTCCTGCGAGGTCGCCTGAAACAGAGTGTTGAAGACGACGTAAACCGCGCGAGAATTTGCGTGTCTGAGCAAGCAACCGTCGCGCAGCGCTGAACCATCGGATAGTCGCTGATGGTGACGGGATGGCGTGTCGCCGTCCGGGCTTGCACGCATCTCTTGGTCTACTATGGCTCCGAGGCGTCTATGCCGTGGACTTCGATTCGCCGCCTCGCTCCTGCGAGTGGTAGCGCGACAAAACCCTGCCGGTGCCGATGCCAAGCTCCAACGCCGCGCCGCCGTTAGCGAACTGCGCCAAGGCGTCCACGGTGGGGGCGACATTGGCGCGCATAGGGTACATCTGGTCATAGACTTCGGCGATTTTGTCGCCGTAGGTCGCGGCGGTGTAGTTGTTCATGCGTGTGGACTGACGGCGCGCTATTCGCCGCGAAGTCTGCGGAGTTCGGCTTCCAATTCGGCTACGCGCGCTTCGGCGGATTGTCTGGCGGCGCGTTCAGATTCAGCTCTTGCCTCTGCCGTTTCACGGGCTGCACGCTCGGCCTCGGCTTCGGCCTGCAATTCTTCCAGAGTGGGGAGGAACTCGCCTGTCGCAGGGTCGCGGAATCGCAACTGCCCATCGTCCCAACAGAGGTCCAATCCCAGCACGGCGCTATGTCCCCATAGCAGACCTTCTGCTTCTTCATGAATTACGACGGGTTCGTATTCATCACCAACAAGCATGTCTCCCGCAAGCGGGGCATCGTGATACCTGCCACCAGTATGATCAAAGCGCCAATACTCGGTTACGCCGTAGCCTGCGTATCCCTCGCGCTTGTCACCGTATAGTCGCGTCTGCCAGTGCTGCGAGACGCCACTTCCAGCACGAAGTCCGGCGGCTTGCCGACTCGCTAATGACATAGCCATTGCGCGCCACAATTCCTTCAGGGTTGACGCCGAATGCCACCACGCAGTCGGGTGCGAGACGCTCCGCGTGATTGGTGGCTTCGTGCCGCAGAAAGCCTTCGCCTGAAATCAGCACGTCGTCCCTGCGGGCAAATAAAGCCTTAGCGCCAGATGGAAGGCAACTATTCCTTCGGTCTGCTGCATATCAGGCTCGCGCGGCGGGTCGGGCAGCGGCTCCAGGTGCGAGTAGTCGCCAGTATGGTGTGTAGCGCGCACTTCGTGTGGTCATGCCGGACGCCCCGAGTGTCAGTGCCACTTACTCTATCTCCATACGATCAGACTGAATGGAGCGTATTGTAAATCCTCATCGTTGATAGCGAGAAGTTTCTGCTGAACGGCACCTGCAGCGCGTTTGCAGGCAACACATCCTCGTCCTCTGCTTGTGACTCTTGCCGAGGCGCGTGTATAATCACCGTACACTCCATAATACCTTTTAGGCCATAGTACACTCCGATTGCTCTAGGTGAAGAACCATGACCACTGCCGCAGGCGCGACGCCTCTGCTGGAGCCTCAAGACAGCCCGTTGCTCATCCTGATAGATGGGCACGCGCTGGTGCACCGCGCACATCATGCCATGCGCGACCCGCTGACGGTGCAGGGCACGGGCGAGGTGGTGTCCGGAGTGTATGGCTTTTTGAACATGTTCCTGCGGGCTATCGAGGAGTGGAAGCCTACGCACTGCATAGTCACTTTCGATGTGTCTGCGCCGACTTTCAGGCATGAGGCGTTCAAGGAGTATAAGGCGCACCGACCACCTACGCCGCCGGAACTGCGAGACCAGTTGGGCGCGTTGAAGCAGTTCATGGAGGCGTTCAATGTGCCAGTGTTGAGATGGCGGGGTTCGAGGCGGACGACATTCTCGGAACGCTTGGGCGCAGGCGAGGGGGAGCACTAGATACGCTTATATTAGGGCGACAGCGTATTTTGCAGCTCGTGTCTCCGTCAGGTTCGGAGTGCTGTCGATCGGGGCGGCAGCGCGCCAATGCGTATGACATAGCGAAGGTGAAGGAACGCGGACGATGGGCTGGGGCCGCGTATGTGGGGCTATGTGCTGAAATCACAAGCACTAGAGGGGACAAGTCTGACAACATCGCCGGGCGTGCCGCGCGTGGGCAGGCAGGAGGACGGCGATACAACTGCTCAGCGAGTATATGGCACAGCATAGAGGGCATGTACGAGCACATAGACGAGGTGAAGCCTCCGGGCATCCACAGAGTCGATGCGCGAGACGAAGAGTTGGCGCTCTGCATTGCAAGATGCTGACTACACATCCGGCGCGATGTTGGCCGGTGGAGGCTGAACACGATGCGGCGAGGTTCGGAGCGGATTTGAGCGTCAGCGAGTGCTGGCGCTGATGCGCGAGCTCGAGTGTCTCAGCACTGGTGAACAGCATAGGCCGTCACATGGTTACGGCGCGAGGGTGCGAGCACGTGGGGATGGTATGGGTATGACTGCGGACGAGCGAACGCCACACCGAGTACAAAGTCTGTAGATACAGTGCCTGCACTTGACCGGATGCTGAAGTCTTTAGAAGCGTCGAGAATTGTTGCCTTCGACACGGAGACGACATCGCAGACGGCGATGCTTGCGGAGCTTGTGGGGCTGTCGTTCTCGAATGAAGAGGGCAAGGGGTGGTATGTGCCGGTCGGCATGAAGATGGCAGCAACTTATAGAGACTATGTGCTAGAGCGACTGCGACCGCTGCTGGAGTCGGGCAAGGCGGGTCTGGCGGCAGATGATAAAAGATATGCGCTTGCAGCACATAATGCCAACTACGATATGACGGTGCTGGCGAACTACGGCATCAATGTGGACGGATTGCGTTCGACACGATGATTGCGGCGCACCTGTGCGGTCGAACTCGGACTTCCATCGGTCTTAAGCCGCTCGCGCTGTCCCTGCTGCATGAAGATATGACGCCTATCGAGGACCTCATCGGCAGGGGGCGGAATCAGTTACGATGGACAAGGTGGAGATTGCGAAAGCCGCGGACTATGCCGCGGCGGACGCGGATATGACATACCGCCTTGTGGATGTCTTCGAGAAGGAACTCGAAGAGAACAATTTGCGCATTACCTTCGACACGTTGGAGATGCCGCTAGTGCCGGTGCTGGTGAAGATGCAGAGGGACGGCGTTGCCATCGACACGGGTGCTCTCGCGCCGATGTCTATCGAGATGGGCGAGCAGATTGATGCCATCCGCCAGAGCATGTACGACACGGTGGGGCACGAGTTCAACATCAACTCGCCCAAGCAGCTTGGGGACGTGCTGTTCAATGAACTGTACCTGCCGCCGACTCGCAAGACGCCGAGCGGAGGGTTCACTACTAACGCGGCGGCGCTGGACGGACTGAAAAGAGTTTCTGGACAGCGGCAATGCGGAGGGCGTTGATCCGAAGGCGTATCAGGTGCTGGATATGGTGCTTGAGTACCGGCAACTGTCCAAGCTGAAGTCAACATACGTGGATGCGCTGCCCACGCTGGTCAATCCGAATACGGGCAGGATTCATACTGAGTTCAAGCAGACAGGATCGGACACGGGGCGTCTGTCGAGCACCGAGCCGAATATGCAGAACATTCCTGTGCGAACCGAGTTGGGGCGACGGGTGCGAAGCGCGTTTGTGGCGGAGAATGCACCGGACTGGACGCTGCTGGGCGCGGACTATTCGCAGATAGAGCTGCGGATACTGGCGCACTACTCGCGGGACGAAGGGCTGATGGCGGCGTTCCTCAATGGCGAGGATATCCACGCAGCGACGGCGGCGAGCGTCTATGGTGTGGAAATCAGCGATGTTGACGCGGAGATGCGGCGGGTGGCGAAGATCATGAACTTCGGCGTGCTGTATGGGCTAAGTCCGTTCGGGATACGGCAGCAGACGGGGTTCAGCGCGGAGGAGGGCAAGGCGTTCATCGATACCTACTTCACCAATTATCCGGGCATACGGGGGTACATCGAGGGCATCAAGGAACAGGTGAAGCAGGACGGATATGTGGAGACGCTGATGGGGCGGCGGCGGCGTATCAACGAGGTTCACTCGAGCAATTTTCACACGCGGGGGCGGCGGGAGAGCGCATGGCGGTGAACAATGCCGATACAGGGTAACGGCGGCGGACATCGTCAAGATGCGATGATTAACATTCAGAAGCGGATGGCGCGCTTGGGATGCGGCTCGAAGATGATATTGCAGGTGCACGACGAGCTTATCTTCGAGGTGCCGCGCGATGAGCTGGGGCATATGCAGGCAATCATCACGGAGCTGATGCCGACGGCGGTGCCTCCGCATGTGGGGCTTCGAGGTGCCGCTTGAGGTGGAGATGAAGGTGGGCGACAATTGGGGGGATATGGAGTAGGCGGCGGCATGACAATGACAGATACTTCGCCGAGATTCGTCGTGCGGCTGCATCAGGGCGGCTCTGGGTACGCATACCTGCGGGAGATATTTCGGGCAGCGGATGGGCTGGGGTATGACGCGGCCTCGCTGTATGACTTGCTGGGGATTCCGACGCTGGAGTGCTGGACGACGCTTTCGGCGCTGGCGGCGGAGACGGAGCGCATACGTCTGATTCCGATGGTGCTGGCGAACCTGTACCGGCATCCGGCGACACTGGCTAAGATGGCGGCTACGCTGGATGTCATCAGCGAGGGCAGACTGGTGCTGGGCATCGGGGCTGGCGGCGGTGAGGGGGACCACAAGGCTTATGGACTACCCTACCCGTCAACTCGTGAGCGCGTTGCGATGGTTGGCGAGGCTGTGCAGGTTGTACGACTGCTGTGGTCTGGGGAGCGCGTGAGCTTCGAGGGCAACCATTACCGACTAAACAATGCGCTGTGCGATCCTGCGCCTGTGCAGCAGCCGGCGCCGCCGATACTCATCGGTGGGCATGGGGAGCGGCATCTGCTGCGCGTGGCGGCGGCGCATGCGGACATCACGAATATGAGCGCCGATATGAGCATTGCAGAGCACGAGGCAAAGCGGCGGGTGGTGGACGCTCATTGCGCCGCAGTGGGGCGAGAGCCGTCAGAGGTGGCACTGAGCCACAACGCGCATGTGTTCATCGGCAGGGACGAGGCGGCGGTCGAGGCGCTGCTGGCGGGGCATGCGGCGCGGCATGCCGTGTCGGTGGAACGGTTCAGGGCGTCGATGGGCAATGCTATTGTGGGCACGCCAGAGCAGTGCGTGGAGCAGATTCGACTGTACACGGACTATGGCATCGGCTGGTTCTTCCTGCTGTTTCCGGAGCCGGTGAGCGTTGGGGATTTGGAGTTGTTCGCCAGCGAGGTGATGCCGCACTTTCGCGATCCTCAATAGGCAGTAGAAGCAGTAGGTTGTGTGGGCATTTCCCATTTGTTCCCTGTCATTCCGAGCGCAGCGACGGAATCTGAAGTCTGTGAATGGCATATGTGCAACGATTTTTTAGATTCTTCACTCCGCTGCGCTGCGTTCAGAATGACAGGGGGGATAAAGGCGCTTCGTTCAGAATGACGGGAGGAGTCTGGCTGCGTTCAGAATGACGGAATAAACCTGCTTTTCAGGGCTAAGACGCTTTGTGGTCAAATGTCAACAGAACCTAATCAGTGGTATTGCCAAAAGGTATTGGTGTTGCATTCAACATTGTGCTTGATTTCGACTTCACCCCCATCCTAACCTTCCCCCATCGAGGGGGAAGGGACAATATGGCTCACATCAACACATGTCAGCAGAGCCTAGTCAGTTGGCAGTGCGCGGATGAACGGTCTGCGATGCTTCGTCGCAGGTGAAGCTGATGGCTGCGTGCTGAACATCCGGGAGAACTGCTGAGCTCGTGCAGCGGCTCTGCATAGGTCCATTCGCTTTTATCAGGAGCGCGAACTGTCCCCCGTCAGCCGAGCAGCGCTTCTCAGTGTAACCTCACGTCCTTCACGGATAACCCTCCTCGGTCAGTGTGGTAATCTTGGTCGCGACAACGGGCTGGCCCGGCTGCTCCATAGGCTATGGCTATGCCCCGACGATAGACTAAAGCGGCAGCAGCATTGAGGTGCGAACGAATGAAGATCAAACGTCAAGGTAGAGATGTTCAATTGGGAGACGGAGCAGTGGAGAACCGGCGTCGGGACGACTTTCGGCAGACGCGACAGCTCGGCATCGTGACCGTTGAGACCGACGAGGGCGTCAGCGGCAACGCCTTCCTGGGATCGTCACGGATGGGCGCGGACCACTACTCCCTCGGACTGATCGAGTTTCTAAAGCCGCTGGTGATGGGCCGCAACCCCGCAGGACATCGGCGCGATCTGGTGGGACATGTGGAAGATGAACCGCTCCGTTCAACCAACGCCATCGGCGCGATAGACATCTGCCTCTGGGATATCAACGGGAAGATCGCGGACAGCCCATCCACAGGCTGCTCGGCACCTGCAAGGAAACTGTTCCGGTCTATTCGTCCACAGCGTACTGGGAGACCAAGGAGGAGTATGTCGAGGAGGCGCTCCAGTTCCAGGACATGGGGTGGACCGCGCACAAGATACACCCGCATGGGAACCCGAAGTACGACATAGAGATCTGCAAGGCGGTGCGCGAGGCCGTTGGTGACGACATGAAGCTGATGCTCGACTCTATGTGGGCGTACCAGTACGAGGATGCGATGCGCGTTGGCCGCGCGATCGAGGACCAGGGCTTCTACTGGTACGAGGACCCGCTCGTAGAGGAGGATATCTACAACTACATCAAGCTGCACCAGAAGCTCGACATTCCTATTATGTCCACCGAGTACGCCCCAGGCCGCTTCTACGGGATGACCTCGTGGATTACACAGTACGCGACCGATATACTGCGCGGCGATGTGGCCGTCACCGGCGGCATCACTCCGATGGTGAGGCTGTGCCATCTGGCCGAAGGCTTCAATATGAAGTGCGAAGTCCATCACGGCGGCAATTCGCTGAACAACGTGGCGAACCTGCACATCACCATGGCCGTGCCTAACTGCGAGTTCTTCGAGTTCTTCCCCTGCACCGGGGCTAACATGTATGGGCTGGTCGAGGACATCGACATGACGGGTGGGGTGGTACACGCACCCACCGAGCCCGGCTTGGGCTACCAGATTGACTGGGACCTCGTGAAGAGGGAGTACACCGGGACAGCGGAATAGATTTCACCGGCTGTTATTCCGGGCTATTGGCCCGGGCTGTTATCCCGGGATAATGGCCCGCAGCGAGGTGTTTGAGATTTCAGGGGGACTAGGTTGTGTGGACATTTCCTGTCATTCAGAGCACAGAGAGGAATCTGAAGCCTGTGAATGGAGTGTGTGCAACGGTTTTAGATTCTTCACTCCGCTGCGCTTCGTTCAGAATGACAGGGAATGAAGGCGCTTCGTTCAGAATGACGAGGTGTGAAGGCGAGTCGTTCAGAATGACGATAAGGACGCTTCGTTCAGAACGACAGAATAAACATACTTCTCAAGTCTGAAAGGCTTTGCGTATCAAATGTCAACAGAGCATAGTTACTGGTATTGCCAAAAGGTGCTGGTGTTGTATTAAACATTGTGCTTGATTTCGACTTCACCCCCATCCTAACCTTCCCCCATCGAGGGGGAAGGGACAATATGGCTCACATCAACACGTGTCAACAGAGCTTAGGTTCGACGGTTCCCGTTACTTTGAAAGAACTTGTCGATTAGGCGATAGCGGCGCCCGGAGGGAACAGATGGCAAACAGATCCGCCAACGTGGTCGTCATCGGAGGCGGCGTGAATGGGACCAGCATCGCAATGCATCTGGCCCGTATGGGCGCCGGCAAGGTGCTCCTGCTGGAGAAGGGGCATCTGGCCGGAGGCGCGAGTGGCAGATCGGCGCGATGGTGCGCGAGCACTACCTTCATCCCACGCTGGTCAAGATGGCGATGGAGGCCAGCACGATATTCCACAACTTCGATGAGATCGTGGGCGGAGACGCGCGGTTCACTGAAACAGGGAGAATGCTGCTATTCCCAGAGCGCGACGTGTCCGCGGTACGGGCGAATGTTGAGATGAACCGGGAGTTTGGGGTGAATATCCAGACTCTCGCTCCGTCCGAGGTCGCTGAGATTGTCCCGCAAGCAAACCTCGAAGACATCGCGCTCGGCGTGTACGAGCCGACTTCCGGTTACGCCGACCCGGTGGCGACAACTTACGCTTATGCAAACAGGGCAATGGACTACGGAGCGGAGATCGTGACCGGGTGCGCCGTCAGCGGAATCCGCGTTCAGGGCGGGCGCATCGTCGGAGTCGATACCGAGGAAGGGCCAGTAGAGGCGGACGCCGTTGTCGCGGCGACAGGTCCCTGGGTGAACCAGCTTGCCACTCCCCTGGGCGAATCCCTTCCCATCACTCCAATCAGGGTCCAGATGGTGCATCTGCGCCGTCCGCCATCTCTTGAAGCGTTGACGACCAACGTCATTGACTACACGACGGGCGCATACTTCCGCGTGGACGCAGGATATGGCACTCTCGTCGGCGGAGAGAATTTAGACGACCTGAATGAGGTGGTGAATCCCGACGGGTTCGGTCTGAACGCCGACCACAATACGATCACCAAGTTCTGGGACCGGGCAAAGCTGCGATTCCCCCGACTTCAGCGCCGCGACGCAGAGGGGCGGGTATGGCTCTCTATACGACATGGCCCCTGACGGCAATCCAATTCTGGACAAGTCGGCATCTGTCGATGGACTGTACTGGGCGGTCGGGTTCAGCGGACACGGCTTCAAGCTGTCACCTGTGGTCGGTCGTATGATGGCGGAGTTCGTTATGCATGGCGAAAGCGCCGATCACTCCATACGCGACTTCCGCGCGAGCCGATTCGCGGAAGGTGATTTGCTTAACGCGGAGCATCCCTACGAAGGACGCAGACACCAGTAGGCGATCACTTACGGGAGTTCTACTGCGCCGCAATGGGTCGTCAGTTATCAGTTGTCAGGGTGGGCTTGGTAGTCGCGCGCTGTTTAGTGGCACGCGAAACTGATAACTGACCACTGAATACTGGACACCGGCGGGCTAACGGCTGCCGCGGTAGTCGCGGAAGGGGCCGTCGCGCCAATCAAGGGCTGCCTTGAGGCCGTCTTCCCTGGAGCGGCGGGCGAACTCCTTCACGATGGGCGCCTGGTGGGCGATGGCGTCGGTCTCGGCGGCGATGTGCTGGAGCGTGTTGCGTCCCATAAGCTCCAGAGCGCGGTTGACGATGCTCTTGTTGGCTGCCAGAAGTTCCCAAGGGATGCGCGCCATAGTGCAGGCGAGTTCCTCAACGGTGTTTTCAAGCTGAACGCGCGGCACGGACTTCCATACCAAGCCAATCTCGGCTGCGCGCGCGCCGGATACGGACTCGCCGGTTAGAAGGAACCACTTTGCCCACTGGGGCCGACCATGTATGTCCACATGTGCGTGGGCGGCGTGCCCATGGAGCGCACGGGCGGGAAGCCTATCTGCGCGTCGTCGGCTGCGATGGATATGTCGCAGTGCATCGCGAGGTCGGTGCCGCCTGCGATGCAGTAGCCGTGAATGCCGACGATGACGGGCTTGCTGAGGTTGAGCACCTGCGCCATAGTGTTGGGAGTCTGCTTCATGCGGTGGATGTCGGCACGAATGTTGTCGCGGCGTTCCCGGGAGGCTACTTCCTCTTCATGCGTGGAGGGCGGTGTGATGTCGTAGCCGGCGCAGAAGGCGCGTCCGTTGCCCATGAGCGTCAGCACGCGCACATCCGGGTCGTCATCGGCTCTTTGCAGGCAGTCCACCATCTCAAGCTGAAGATCGCGGCTGAGGGCGTTGAGCTTCTCAGGCCTGTTCAGCCTGACTCGACCGATGCCGTCCGATGCGCTGTATTCGATGAATTCGTAAGTCATTAGGATAGCACCTCAGAGACAAGATAGCGCCGCGTGGCTCGGCGGCGTTTGGGCGGTATTGTAGCATGGAGTTGTCAGTTATCAGAGACGAGGGCTAACAGGATGAACGGAGATGGGGTCAGGATGCCGGTTTGTCCAGCACGTAGATGATGAAGTTGGGGCAGCGGAATTCGTCGTCGAAATTGGGATGGGCGGCGAGCTGCTCTTCGGACGGCGTTGGCTCGTGGAGCGCGCGGAGAGTGAAGCCTGCGTCCAGAAACGCCCCGATGTGGCTGGAGAGCGTGCGATGCATGTTGACGAAGCGTCTGCCCCACCATGTCCACTCGCGGGGTCCCTCGTCGGTGTAGTCGTCGACCGGGTAGAAGAGCTTTCTGTCCGCTTGCTTAATCCAACCTGCGGGCAGTGAACTCCGCATGGGGTGGATGTTGCAGACTACGAAGCGACCACGGGGCGCAGGACGCGGTATGCCGCCTCAATGGCGCTGCGGTAGTCGAGCAGGTCAACGAGAACGATGTACGACACGGCTATGTCGAAGCTTTCGCTCTCAACATCATTGAGGTTTTCGGCGTCGCCAAGCATGTACGTTTCGCCTGTGCTCATAGCGCGCGCCCTTGCGATCAGGGCTTCGGTGAGGTCAACGCCCGTGACACTTGCGCCGAGCTTGGACAGCAGGCGGGAGAATCTGCCCTCGCCGCATCCGATATCGATTGCCGACTTGCCCCCGACATTACCGAGCGCGTCGAGCATCCAGCTATCGAGCATGCCGGTGCGCACGGCCTGGTCGGTGTCTATCCAGTCCTGAGCCGATTCAACCCACTGACTATGAAGACGTTCGCTTAACTCCATCCATTACCTCCAATAATGCTTATGCGGATATAGCAAGCGTAATATTACATCACTTGCAGAGCCGCGAAATCGAGACTTCTGCCTGTTACGCTGCGCCGCATTGTTGTGCTATCCTTATAGCGGCGAGCGGGAGTAACTCAGTGGTAGAGTGCCTGCCTTCCAAGCAGGGTGTCGCGGGTTCGAATCCCGTCTCCCGCTCCAACCAAACTGGGAACAGATACCTGCTCTCCACACGGAATACACCACAGCGACATGTGAGGTTGTGCGATGCAATTTTCCGGCAGACTGGTCATCATAATCGCGTTGTCCGTAACCACACTGCTCGCGAGCAACATCATTGCCATCAAGCCGGTGGCGCTGTTCACACTTCCGTTCCAAGTATTCGGCGATAACCTGTTTGTCGTTTCCGCAGCAATAATCTGCTTCCCTGTGAGCTACATAGTCAGCGATGTGCTGACCGAGGTGTACGGCTTCCGTGTGGCGCGGGGCGTGATATGGCTCGGGTTCGTCTGCAACCTGCTGATGGTGGTCCTGTTCTTGCTGGGCGGCTTGATACCGGGTGCAGGGTTCTGGGAGGGACAGGACGCATACCGGGCGATACTCGGCGCTACGGGCTGGATTTTACTGGGCAGTTTCATCGCGTATATCGTAGGTGAGTTTACAAACGCCGCAATAATGGTCGTGCTTAAGAATAAGACGCAGGGACGCCATCTCTGGGTACGCACCATATCATCTACCGTAGTTGGACAGGGCATCGACTCTGTGCTGTTCTTCGGCATCGCGTTCGGCATTTCCGGCCTGTGGCCATGGCCTGCCGTGTTCGCCGCGATGATATTCGCGTGGGCGGCGAAGACGGTGTATGAGATCGCAGCCACTCCACTGACTTACCTGGTCGTCAACTGGCTGAAGCGGACTGAGCATATGGACATCTATGACGCGCCGCGGTCGCTGAATCCGTTCGGCATATTCGGCGACGAATCGGAGGGCAGCGTGAATGCTGCGTTGGATGCAGCAGATTGATTAGCAGAAAGTAGTTTATTCATAGAGGAATATGACGGCAAATGAGTTTCGGCGTTGGCTTAGACGGCAAGGGTGTACATTTCACAATCATCGCGGCGGGAGTGGACATCTCACTGTACGGTTAGGCAACCGCGTATCACAATTGCCGATGCATGGAAACCGAAAGGAACTTGGACCGAAGATAATTGCCAAAATCAAGCGAGATTTGGGGTTGAGATAATGCTTGCTTATCCGGTTATCCTAGAAGCGGACGCAGACTACATAATGGTAACTTCTCCCGATTTTCCCGAGCTAACCACATTCGGGGATGATAGGGGCGAAGCGCTGATGCGTGCCGTTGACGCGCTTGAGGAAGCGATTGCCGCTCGCATGTATGATAACCGCGAAATACCCGAACCTTCGAACGGTAAACCCATCGTCGAGGTGCCTCTCCGCACCGCAGCGAAGATAATGGCTTATCAAAATAACGGCAATATCCCTCAAGGACGCACTTGATGCCAAGACAAAGTTGGACGCGTGAACAAGATTTAGCAGTGCTGTATCTCAAAGTGGCGATTGGGAAAAACGTTTTGACGCAAAAACACCCGGATATCTTTAAGATTGCCCAAGCAATGGGGCGCACTGATGCCGCCATCTGGATGCGAAAACTCAATTTTGACTATCTGGACCCTTCAGTATCTGGAGGATATAGCAATTCCGCTAAACAGACTGAAAGGATATGGGATGAGTATCAATCCAATCCTGATTCAACTCTTGCGAAAGCAAGAAAAGCCTACTTGAATCTGGTACAAGACACTATCTGACTGCTGTACAGGGAGAAAACATCATGAGACTTGAAGGCAAGGTTGCGCTAATCAGCGGCGGGGCGCGGGGTATGGGCGCTGTGGAGGCTCGGCTGTTCGTAAGCGAGGGCGCTAAGGTTGGCATCGCGGACATTCGCGAGGAGGAAGGACGCGCGCTCGAAGCGGAAATCAAAGAATCGGGCGGCGATGCGATGTTCGTCAGCCTTGATGTTACGGATGAGCAGCAGTGGTCGGACGCGGTTGACGCGGTGATGACTGCCTACGGACGGCTGGACATTCTTGTAAATAACGCTGGTATATTCGCGCGCGCCACGGTGGAAGAGACCAGCGCCGCCGATTGGGACCTCATGCTGGACATCAACGGCAAGGGTGTGTTTCTCGGGACGAAGGCTGTCGTCCCTGCGATGCGCGAGAGCGGCGGCGGCTCAATCATCAACATCTCATCTGTTGCGGGGATTATCGGCAGCGCGGGTGGACGGCATACAACGCCTCTAAGGGCGCGGTGCGGCTGCTCACCAAGTCAACGGCGGTGCAGCACGCAGCCGAGAACATCCGCGTGAACTCGGTGCATCCGGGTCCCATCGAGACGGACATGCTGGATCTCGTGTATCCGGAAGATGGGATGCGCGAAGAACGCGCGGAGAACATCCCGATTCCTCGCATGGGAGCCTCCGAGGATGTGGCTTACGGTGTGCTGTTCCTGGCGTCCGATGCGGCGTCGTATATGACGGGCAGCGAACTGGTCATAGACGGGGGAGTTACGGCGACTTAGTTAGGTTTCGCCGCTCAGGTTCTGGCATCGTGCCTGTCGAGTGTTCCTCGCCAGTCCAGGATTCTAGCATCAGCGGTTACGAGCGTGGCTTCACGTGCCAGCGCCGTGGCAACTATGATGCGGTCTGCTGGGTCTGCTGGGAGTCCATCTAGTTCGGTCGACATTAGCGCGATTTCTCCAGAAACCGCAATCTCGTGGACTCCCTGAGCTATCACATTGTTACGCCAAACCCTCATGGGCTGACCTATATCAATTCGGTTCTTCTGGACGAGCAAGGCAATTTCCCAGAAAGAAAAAACCGACACTGCAAGCGATCTCTGCTCTAGCGCCTCATCTGCTAGTCTACGCGCTACGGGGCCTATGCGTTCGCTCCCCATCCGAAGCCACAGAAGCGCGTTAGTGTCTAAAATCACCTCACTCACTTCAAAGCATCCCACTCAACGTCTATAGGCTCGATAATGTCGCCTTTGATTACGATGTTGCCCCTGTCTATGCCGAACAGACTCTTGACCGTGCGCTTCTGTACTGGTACAAGTTCCGCTACCGCGACGCCGTTTCGCGTGATTAGCATTTTTTCGCCGCTTGCGGCGACTTCATCGACTATCTTGATGCACTTCTGTTCAAACTCTGCGGCGCTGATGACACCCATGCCTGCCTCCTTATCATTGTCAGTACATACCATAGTTATAAAGGGCGAAGTGTTTGTCAAGGATAACGCTCAACTTGTCCGCGCTCTGACACACGGATATAATGTGCCGACACGAGACGACAATATGGAGGCAGCGACATGACAACATCGAGGGCCGAAGCCGAAATACAGCAGTTTGTGGCGAGCACACCGAAGTCGAAGTCGCTGCAGGATGAGGCGGCGCAGTACCTGCCGGGCGGCAGCTCGCGCGGCACGGCGTATTTCGCGCCCTACCCGACATTCGTTGACCACGCGAAGGGGCACTATGTCTATGATGTCGATGGCAACCGCTACCTCGACTTCATGATTAACGCTACTACGCACATCATGGGGCATGCGCATCCCGAAATCGTTGAGGTTCTTCAGGAGCAGGCGGAGCGGGGCAACTCGTTCAGCGGGCCCACTGAGGCGCAGGTGCGACTTGCGAAGAATTTGTGCGAGCGCGTTCCCTCCCTGGAGACGGTGCGCTTCACGAACTCCGGCACAGAGGGGACGATGATGGCGATTCGCGGCGCGCGCGCCTTCACGGGGAAGCACAAGATCGCCAAGTTCGAGGGCGGCTATCACGGCTCGCACGAATATGTGTCGGTGAGCGTGAGACCTGCTGCCGAGGATCTCGGTCCCGATGCCACGATTCCCGTTCCAGAGCATCCGGGGCAGCCCCCTAGCATCACCGAGGATGTCATCACGCTGCCATATAACGACCTTGCGACTTCTGAGCGCATCATCCGTGAGCACGGCGATGAACTCGCCTGCGTCATCATGGAGGTGGTGTCGTCAAGTTTCGGTTATCTGGAGGGGGACGAAGACTTCTTGCGGGGCATGCGGGCGGTCACGGAGGAGCTGGGCATCGTGCTAATCTTTGATGAGGTGCAGAGCTTCAGGGTGTCTCCGGGCGGAGCGCAGGAGATGTTCGGCGTGATACCTGATATGACGACATTCGGCAAGATAATCGGGGGCGGCATGCCGGTGGGCGCATGGGGCGGCAGGCGCGACATCATGGCGCTTTTCGATCCCAGTGAGGGCGCGCCTCTTGCGCATGCGGGCACTTTCAACGCGAACCCTATGACGATGGTCGCGGGCGAGGTGGTGATGAACCACCTGACGCCTGATGTGTATGAGCGCATGAACGCGCTGGGCGAGACGCTGCGCGCCAAGCTGCGGGCGGTGTTCGACGAGCTTGAGGTGCCGGCGCAGGTAACGGGCGTGGCGTCGCTGTTCGGTATCCATTTCACGGACAAGGAGATCGTTGACTATCGCTCGGCTCTTAGCAGCGACGGCGATATGACGAAGGCGCTGTTCACGGGGCTGCTGAATGAGGGCATCCTGATTCAGACGGGCGGCGCGGGCGCGCTGAACACGCTGACGACAGATGAAGAGGTGGACGCGCTGGTGGACGGCTATAAGGCGGGTGGTGCACGCGGTGTGAGGTAAACGAATTGGGCGCGATGATACTGAGGGCGGGGCGGTATGTGGTTCCACGGCAATATACGATTCACTGAGCACGCTCTTCTAAGTTTGAAGTTTGAGGCAACAAGGCGTCGAAATAGACAGGGATACAGTCGTGGAACGTAATACTGTATCTCAGGAAGTGGTTCCCAGGTCATGACATCGGCTGATTGCTCAGGCTCATTAGACGCAGAAAGAGTGCTTCGAGTCGTATATGAAGAATCTAATGACGAGATCGTAATCGTCACCTTTTACCCCGGCAGGAGATCAAGATATGAACGGAATGGCGTACAGCAAAGACGTTGACATTCTGCTGGTGAAAGTGGCGGATGAGCCTATCGACTATGCCGAGGACTCGGGTCAATTTATAGTCCATTTTTCGCAAGACGGTAAGCCTGTATTAATTGAAATACAGGACGCCAAGGAATTCGTCCTAGAATCCTTGCATACTCTGTTCGCAGACGCCAAGGATGCTTTGGATTAACCCACATGCTCCCCGATGAACGCTCCTACGACCTTGTTGAACTCCTCATGCCGTCTCGAAGTAGGGGAATGGCCTGCTTCGGCGACGATGTGGAGTCTGCGCGCCGGGGATGACTTGCGAGACCTCTTTCAGGATTGCCAGCGGGAATATGCGGTCTTGTGCGCCTGCGACCATTAGTGTGGGTATGTTGTAGTCGCCGAGCGCATCGGGTGAGACGCCTATCTCGCCAGTGCCGGTGTCGCCGATGAGTGGGTTCAGGCCGAAAGCTGGCGGTACAGGAACGCCATAGCAGGGGCGCGGTCGAAGGCGTCGGGGCTAGGGCGAGGTGCGGCTCGTTCCATGGATGGGGTCGGTCGGGTCTATGGGCGCTGCGGGTCGCGGGCTTCGCGCGCTTTGATGACGCTGGTGTCTGGGACGCCGCCGGGGTGCCCGACAGCACGAGGCAGAGACACGCGCTCCGGGTTGGCGAGCGTGAATTGCATGCCGGTCCATCCACCCATCGACTGGCATATGACTGAGGCGCGCTCCACGCCTGCGTCGTCCATGACTGCGCGCATGTCGTCGGCGAAGTAGCGGGCATGCTTATGCTCGGAGCGCACTGCGACCCTGCCCCATCCGCGATGGTCTAATGCAACACCTTGTGGCGGCGGGCGAAGTGGGCTATCTGCTGCCACCAACTAGGGTGTTGCCGCCCGCGCCGTGCGCGAGGACGACGGGCGGGCCTTCGCCGTGGGTCTCGTAGTAGATTTTGGCGTTGTCAGTGTTGACGAAGGCATGTTTTTCAGCTCCTATTCAGTCTTGGCGTTGGTCAGAAATACCGAGCAGGGTACGGATGTGGGTGCGGATGGGATCAAACCGCTCTGTTTTCTCTTTTGTGATTTCATTTCCTGCGTTAACGATAATTTCGATAACGAGCGTCTAAGCTTCTGCATAGAGTTCTCGATAATGTATTTCTATCTCTACAAGTTCCCGTGTTTTGTGTAACCTGACTGTTACGAACACTGTGATTTGAAGGACGGAGTTTGACTGTTGGGCAAAGTATGCGTTGACATGGTGTAAGGCTGCATAGAAAAGCGCTGTAACTGCCCAATCGTTGAATTCAGTGCCGACAAGATTATCGTAAAGACCCTCGTTCTTCTCTGCTTGCGCGATATGCTCAGTCGGCTGAGGCATATTCACGCTTCCACAACGACTTTGCACCGCTGGGCAAAACGCCTGCTGAATAGTCAGCGCGAAGGTCCTCAAGATTGACGACATGAAAGTTAACTATCGCGCTGTCGGTAGCGCGCGCTACCTCAGCCTGTATGTCATATATCGGATACCGCGCTTCAAAATCCATGCGAGAGGTTGATGTGACCGTCCATATCTCGGTGATTACACCCTCACTTACGAGAGCTATCTCTTGAACGACTTCAAGACGCTTGGCTTTATTCACGAAAAAATCGCACACTTGCTTGACAGATATCAGGCGCCCGTCGTCGCCCGTGCCATCGCCATCTATGAAGATTGAAATACGCACACGTGCAGGCGGCATATCCAGAGGTTCGTCGAGGTGGAGGTTACCGCTCTCATCTACGAAGCCCGTTGCTTCCAGCGTCTTTATTGCGATTGTCATTGCTGCACCTCCCATTACCTGATGTACACAAAGCGACTGTTCGTCTCTCGGGTGATGAATGCCTTGTAACCGGGACAAAAAATCAGCCGAGCACTCCGGCGTCTTTGAATGCGGTGACGTCGGTGTCTTCGTAGCCAAATTCGGTGAGCACTTCGTCGGAGTGCTGGCCTAGCAGGGGCGCAGGGGTTCGCACGGAGCCGGGCGTATCGGAGAGCTTCACGGGGACGCCGATGTTGCGGATGCTGCCGGCCTTAGGATGTTCGAGTGGCACTGCCATTTCGCGGGACTGCACATGCGGGTCGGCATAGACCTGCTTCATGTTGTAGATCGGGCCGCACGGAACTCCTGCTTTCTCCAGAGTCTTCACCCAGTGGTCGGTGGTCTGCGTGCGGAATGTCTCTTCCATGATGGGCGTGAGGGCGTCAATGCTAACCATGCGCTCAGGGTTGGAGGCGAAGCGCTCGTCGTCAAGCAGGTCTTCGCGGCCCACCGCGCGGCACATGCGCTCCCAGTTGTTCTGGTTCGCCGCGCCGATGTTGATGTAGCCGTCCTGAGTGGCGAACGCCTGATAAGGCGCAATCATGCGGTGCGCCGAACCGAGCGGGCCCGCCACCTCGCCGGTGGCGAAGTAGGTTGCGGATTCGTAGAGGGTGTATGCGATGCCGGACTCTATTAGAGAGGCGTCCACATGCTGTCCCTTCCCCGTTACTAGGCGGTTAATGTATGCGGTGAGGATGCCGTAGGCGCAGAACATGCCAGTGTTGAGGTCTGCCATGGGTACGCCTACCTTCGCGGGCGGGGAGTCGGGGAAGCCGTTGATGCTCATCAGGCCGCTCATGCCCTGAGCTACGAGGTCGAATCCGGCGCGACTGCTGTACGGGCCTGTCGTGCCGAAGCCCGATACGGTGCAATAGACGATGGCAGGATTGAGCGCGCTCACATCTTCGAAGGCAAGGCCCATGCGATCCACGACACCGGGGCGGAAGTTGTGAATCATGACATCGGCGTCTTCGAGCATGTGGCGCACTATGGCGAGGCCCTGCTCGCTCTTGAGGTCAAGGACGATGCTGCGCTTGTTGCGGTTCAGCGTCAGGAAAGCCGCTGATTCGCCTTCAATGAAGGGCGGCCCGTATCGACGAGTGTCATCGCCGCCGTTGGGCTTCTCAATCTTGATGACATCAGCGCCCATGTCTGCTAGCAGCATTGTGCAGAATGGACCTGCGAGAATCTGGCTGAAGTCGATCACCTTGATGTCTTGGAGGGGTAGTTTTCCGTTAGAGTTTTGCATTTAGGCTATCTCCAGTGGTCGGTCAGTCTTTCAATGTGTCAGTCGGTAAATTGAAGCCTTTAGTACATTGCTTTGCCTACTAAAGCGTTGGCGATATTCTTGATTGCGAAACGCTACGCTATTCGCCTCTGAAAACGGGCTTGCGGCGCTCAATGAACGCGGCTCGTCCTTCGTGGAAGTCGGCACTGTCGAAGTTGGTGAAGGGCAGGTCTTGCTCTTCCTGCGACAGACCTTCGCCTGATGGGTTTCGCAGGGTGATGTCGCGGATGCGCTTGTTGCGTTCGTGGCTTAGTGGCGCGAGTTCCGCCATTTCGTGCGCGAGGGTGTAGGTGTGCTCGTGAAGTTCATCCGCGCTGAGGAGCGTAGTTATCAGGCCAATGCGGTGCGCCTCTTGAACGTCAATCAACCTGCCGCTCAGCAGGATGTAGGATGCATTGCCGGGACCTACGAGGTTGACGAGGCGGCGCATCTCGCCGTATCCGACGAGAATGCCGAGTCGCGCTATGGGGATGCCGAAGCGGCTGTCGTCGGATGCGATGCGTATGTCGGTTGCCATCGAGAATTCGCAGCCTCCGCCTACACAGAAGCCTCTGATCATGGAAATTGTCGGCTTGGTCATTGCCTCTACGGTGTCCATCGCGCCGTCGAATGCGGCAGCATAGACTTTTGAGATGCGCGAGTTGATGCGGTATTGCTCGAAGTCCTTGATGTCGGCGCCCGCGGAGAACGCCCTGTCGCCCGCGCCGGTGAAGACTACCACGCGCACCGAGTCGTCTTGCTCAAGCTCGATGGTGATTCGCTGAAGTTCAAGCCAGCCGGCGTAGCTGATGGCGTTGTGCTGGGTCGGCCTGTTGAAGGTCACGGTTGCGACGCTGCCGTCTCGCTCAACGAGTATGTCGTCTTGTTCGTTGGGGTTGTCGGTCAATTCTTTCACACTTCTAAGTTAAGATTTGGTTCGCGCCGAAGAATGCGCTATCTCACCGGCTCCCATATCTGCGTCAGGTCGAGTGTGAATCCTGGCAGTTCGGGTCAGCGGATAGGAGTCAGGGATTGTCCAAATCTCGAGCTGTGCCGCGGGCGATAGATATGAGCGCGCCGTTGCGATGGATCGAGCAGCCAGCCGAGGCGCACGCCGTTGGACATGTATTCATCCATCTTCGCCTGCAGGACGCTCAACCTGTCTGTAAGCCAGCGCATTTCAATTACAAAGTCCGGGCACAGCGGGTAGAACCCTTTTCTCTCTTCCATCGTCAATTTCGCTAAACGAGACCTTGTCACCCAAGCGGCGTTGGGCGCCCGCATTGCACCATTGGGCAGTATGAAACCTGCATTTGCGAATGCGACACCATGGACTTCGGTTCGCTCCCATATACCAAAAGCGGCGATTGCCCCTACCACCCTTGCTCCACCATCACCTACAAGCAACGGCGACAACTCCAATACGCCGTCAGCAGTGCGTTCAATCGCACTACTTCATTCATCTCACAGAACTCCGCAAACTGATCATCTGTTAGATTGATGACAGGTTCTAGTTGCAGATTGAGTGGCAGTACGTTCGGGAGTACGCGCTCAATGCCCTGAGTCATTGCAACGTCTCCTGTTGCCAAAACGGTTTAGCCTTCATTTGCGGCATAGCCACTATCTTAACCCAAGTGAAGGGACGATTTCGTGCAAGAATGTATCGAGTTGGCGTTCCTGCTCGAAGGAGGCGAAGCGCACGATGACTGTCTGCGCTCCGGCTTCGCGGTACTGCTCGATGCGCTCGGCGACTCGCTGTGGATTGCCGAACGGTCCCCAGCGGTCTCCCCAGATGTTTGCGCCGTAGTATTGGCGCAGGAACGTGTCGGCTTCATCGGCGGCGGCGGTTTCGTCCTCGCGGAGGTTGACGGTCATGTAGAAGGTCGCCTCGGGCGCTTCAGGGTCTCCGCCGTACTCCGCCGTGTAGCCGCGTACCCTGTCCACCACGCAGGCGTAATCATCGGGGTAGTCGGAGATGGACATGAAGCCTGCGCCCAACCTTGCCGCTCGCTGGAATTGGCGCTCACGTCCGGCGCGCCAGTGGCAGGCTACGAGGAATGGGACACCGTTAGTTTGCACGGCGCGCGGCAGCACGCTTACTTCATTGAAATTGAAGTGCCTCCCTTCAAATGTAACCGCTTCGCCGCGTGTGAGGCGGGTCGCTATCTCCAGCACTTCTTCGAAGCGGCGCGCGCGCTGGGACGGCTTTATGCCGACGTTGAGCCATTCCTGCTGCTGAGCGTCGTTGAACGCGCCGCCCACGCCCGTGCCAAGAATCAGCCGTCCGCCGGATATGGTGTCAACGGTCGCGGACATCTGCGCGAGCTGCACAGGATGACGCAAGGCTGCGAGCATGACCGCCGTGCCGAGCCGAACCTTCTTCGTGCGCATCGCTATAGCCGCGAGCGTTGTCAGCGGTTCGAGGCGCGGCTTTGCGGTTAGGCTGTCGCCAACCCACACCGAATCCAGTCCTGCCTGCTCCGCCTGTTCCGCCATCGACAGCAATGGTTCAATGCTGGGTGGCCCGGCGCTGCCCATTACGAGCCCGCGCGTTGGTAGAAGTACACCGAGTTTCAAAGTCATCAGTCTTTCTTATCACCTCTTGAAGTTGGGACCCCAGCCGCAGGCATCATCGTAGCGAGAAATCCGGGTTGAATCTCGTCGCACAAGGCGAGATCGTCAGGAGTGTCCAGGTCCAGCCCCAATCCTTCGCTCAAGCATACAGCATAAGGGATGCCCCGCGATGTCGCTTGCCGCTTGTGAAGGCTGAAGCTGTCCTTGCCTAACAAGGGGGGAAAGGACAGGCATTGGGGGATGAGCATGGCGTTGGTTCCGCCGTCCTGCTGCGCGGGGGAGAGTGTAAGAGTCTTGCCATTGCCGGATGCCTGCACGATCCTATGTATATCAGCGGCGGTTACGAAAGGCAGGTCGGCGGGCAGGTAGATTGCGGCCATTTCAGCCTTACAAGCCTTGCCCAAAGCAAATCTCAGGGAGTCGTTGAGGTCTTTGCCGGGGTCTTCGCGCCACGATGCGCCGAGTCTCTCGGCAGTATGCCGCACCGTGTCATCGCCGCCGACTACCCACACCACCCCGAGCGCCGCGTTAGCCTCTGTGATCACCCTGCTGAACATGCTAAGGCTCAGATCGGCACGTTGCTGTTCCGACAGAACACTCGCCAAGCGCGTCTTCGACCGGTTCAGCGGTTTCATCGGAACGACTGCGACTATGCTATGGGCGTTCATGCCGCCAACTCGCAAATATACTCGGCAAGTCGCACCTTGTCGGCGTCGGTTATCATCATCGTGTTCGTTACGGCAGCGCGCATGCCCAAAGCCTCGATGTCCCCTGCCCTGTCGCCGTCCACATCATCCAGCACGAACACATCGCACAAGCCCTGGTACTGCTTCGCTACGCCCACGCAGGAAGATTCAATACCAAGCTCGCCCATCATCTTGGCGGCGGGGCCCTTGATTGCCTGTCCGCCTACGATGGGGCTGACCGCGAGACGCAGGCCATTGAAGCCTTCGATAGCATCACGCACACCGGGGACTGCCAGTATGGGAGCGACGCTGACGAAGGGGTTCGACGGGCAGAAAACGAGCGCATCGCTCTCGCTCAGGGCGCGCTCGAACTCCGGCGCGGGCTGTGCATGTTCCGCGCCAGCAAAGCGAATCTCGCTCACGGCAGGCTCGCAGCGATGCTTCACGAACCATGTCTGCATCGCCAGTTCGCCGATGTCAGTTGACAGCATAGTGCGAACGGGGTCGTCACTCATCGGGACTATGGGATGCTCCACGCCCAGCGCGCTTCGCAGCGACTGAGTGACTTCGGACAGAGAACAGCCTTGGCGCAGAAGGTCTGTCCTGCGGATGTGTGTCGCAAGGTCCTTGTCGCCGAGGTTGAACCACGCATCCGCGCCGTATTCCTTCAGCCTCCCCAACGCCTGAAAGGTCTCGCCCGTGATGCCCCAGCCGGTTTCAGGGTTAGACAACCCAGCGAGCGTGTACATCACCGTGTCCACATCGGGGGATACATGCAGGCCGTGGAACACCTCGTCGTCGCCTGTGTTCACGACGATGGTGAGCTGCGAGGGCGGGAGGGTTTTCGACAGGCCGAGGGCGAGTTTTGCGCCGCCGACGCCGCCCGCTAACGCGAGCCACTTCATAGGGCACCTTCACAGTTGAAGCGCGTGGAGACTGCCGAGATTGTGGAGTAGTGATTCATCATCGTACACAACATTGCGCTACGCCGCCATTATGCTGACGCTATACTGTCTTACACGCGCGTCCCTTGTAACCAGCACAAGGTCCTCGGAGCGCGCCTGCGCCACTAGCAGGCGATCAAACGGGTCACGGTGAAACAGCGGAAGACTGCCCGCCTCCATTCCGTGCAAGAAGGTGATGGACAGATACTCGAACCCCGTTGCTTCAATCATCTCATACACATTGTCAGGGGCTTGGAGTTTCCCCAGATTACTTTTGAGGGCGATCTCCCAACCACTTACAGCGCTGACAAACACATCGTTGCTCGCGTCTGATATCGCGTCACGAGCAAGATCATCCAACCTGGAAGGACTCGTAAGCGCCCACAAGAGAGTGTGAGTGTCCAACAGAAGAGAGGGCATTATTCTATAGATGCTTCGCTGGCTTCAGAATTATCCTCTGGAAAAACCTCGCCGTTGTAGAACAGGTCTATCAACTCTTCCGGCGTGTCATCAAAATCCGGCGCAATCCAGATCTGTCCCTCAAGCATTCCCAACGGACGACGCTTTGGTTTTTCGGAAATATCTTCAAGGCGTTCCGGCTCGTCGTACGGCGTCAGGCGCAGGAATGGCTTGCCTGCCTTGGCGATGATTACTTCCTCGCCCTTCCATGCGAGTTCTCCCAGCATCGACAGATTCGACTGCGCCTCGCTCATATTTACCTGCATAGTATGCCCTCCAACCTCTACCTTCCCTCAATTCTAACAACAATAACACAGCAGTTTCCAGCATGCGCCATAGGACGAGGCGCGTAGGTAGCACTGTGATAGAATCCAACTCGCTGACATTATGGCGCGAATTAAAATACAACGCCACGGCAGCGGGGGACGACATCTACATCTCGCACATCAGCCTGACGAACTTCCGCAACTACGCGCGGCTGGAGCTTGACTTGCAGCCGGGCATGATCCTTTTCGAGGGCGAAAACGGCGCAGGCAAGAGCAATCTGCTCGAAGCTATGTACTTGCTTGCGGTCGCGCGCTCTCCTCGCGCGTCCACAGAGCGTGAACTTGTACGGCGCAGCAACGGCGAAGGTGAGTTCTACACGCAGGTAGCCGCCAATGTGGAGCGGCAGGATGATTCGGTGAACTTGCAGATTAACTTCCGCAGCGTGTCAGCGCCACCCACCGCCGGAGCGAGCGCTGCGACAACACCCCGGGTGATGTCGGTGCAGAAATACTTCCGCGTGAACGGGGCGCCCCGCCGGGCTTCCACGCTCATAGGGCATCTGAACGCGGTAATGTTCAGCGCGGACGACCTTGAGATCGTGTATGGCTCGCCGAGCGTGCGCCGCCGCTACCTGAACATCCTCATTTCGCAGACGGACCGTGAGTATCTGGGCGCGATACAGCGATATGAGCGCGTGCTGCGGCAACGCAACCATCTGCTCCGCCAGATACGAGACGGATCGGCGCGCATCAACGAGCTTGCATTCTGGGACGACGAGCTTGTCAAAGAAGGGATCTGCATAGTGGCGCAGCGCCTTGCTGCGGTGCGATTGCTGTCCGAAGGCGCGAATCCGATGTATGCCCGTCTGAGCGGCGGAAGCGAAACCCTCGCCGTATCCTACCAGCCTAATGTAGCCCTGCCTGATGGCGCAGATGTTTCGAGAGATAGCATCGCGGAACTCATGGGCGCGAAGCTGAAGGAACAGCGCCGGCAGGAACTTGCGCGGGGAATTACGGTTACGGGACCACACCGCGACGACCTCGCGCTCACGCTAGACGGAATGGAAGCCGCTGCATTCGCATCGCGCGGACAGACCCGCACCGCGGTGCTGGCGCTGAAACTGGCGGAGGCTGAGTATCTGAAGCGGCGGCGAGGGCAAGAGCCGGTCATTCTGCTCGACGACGTGCTGTCGGAACTGGATGCGGCGCGGCGCGAGCAGGTGCTGGGGCATGCCGCGCAGTATCACCAGGCGCTAATCACAACGGCGGACAGAGAAGCCATTGCACCGCAACTCCGGTCAGGAACAGCGCGCTTTAGCGTGTGCAGTAGTAAGGTGCAGTTACTTCACTAGGCGCAGTTTCTGCGGCTTGGCGCGCGGCACTCGCTCTATATCGCCCTTCACCTCCATGTCGAGCTTCACGGAGACGGTGTACCAGATACCGAGCCGAGATTATCTCGCTGCTCCGTGCTGAGGCGACCTTCGATTAAGCCCGATAGATTGCGGAACTCTACGCCGTCCGCGCTCTCCGCGACAATCTCAAGTATGGTGCGCCCAGCAGGTCGTACTTCCACTTGTGGATGCGTGTGGGCTTCTTCCCCGGAGTCGGCGTCTCGCAGACGACCCTTTCTTCGTCAGCCATAGATGCACTTCAATCGCTTCAGGCGATCTTGCGCAACGGACCGTCGGGGCGCAGCTCGTCGAGTATCGCGGCGGTCTCATCGGCAATGCCCTCACCCGAATTGCGCCGCTTGGCGAGCAGGTCGAGCGCGTAGTCTGAGACGCCGGCGCGGATTCGCAGTTCCTCCGGCTTGTATCGCATGCAGCGGCGCATAAGAACCTGCGCCGGGCGGCGCGTCTTCTCGGTGCAGCCGTAGGCGTAGGAGCACATATAGGCGTAGCAGGTGGTCACTTCTCGGTGAATGGGAGGCACGCGACTGGAAGATGGCGCGATGTGCCCTGCTACAAAGTCGTCGAGGGGCTTGTCGAGCGCCCCGGGCAATGGCGCCTTTTTGTGCATACGCATATAAGTATTGCCTCTCGGTCAAGGAGTAAACTGGTCTAATCTGCACAGATATTAAACACAAAATTAGATAAGTTCAATACTTATGTACGTGGAACGCCATTCTGGGGAGGAATAATGGAGGCGTGATCCTAGTTCATGCGGAGGTGTTCGATGGGCGCGCTAGCCGAGACAGGCGGTCCGACAGGCGCACGAAGAACGATAGGAAGCGCACGATGCGGGCTGAGTGGCAAGAAGTCCGGGCAAGCCAAGGGTCTATGCGGATTTCTTCTCAAGCAACATGGCGGGCATGGGAATCGGGACTATTTCACCGTCGTCCAGGCTGAGTGTCGCGGGGGCGTTGCCAAGAATGGCGTCGGCGTCCACGACGCAGCGGCTGACGTCGGGCATGCTGGGAAGCTCGTACATCACATCCAGCAGCGTATTTTCGAGGATAGTGCGAAGTCCGCGCGCGCCCGTCTTGCCCTTGAGCGCCTCCCGCGCAGCGGCGACAAGCGCCTCTTCGGTGAAGACCAGTTCCACGCCATCCATATCGAAGAGTGATTGATACTGCCGCACAAGAGCGTTCTTGGGCGCGCTGAGCACTTGGATGAGCGCCGCCTCGTCCAGGGTATCAAGCGTGGCGATAACGGGGAGGCGTCCCACGAACTCAGGGATGAACCCATACTCCATCATATCGTCGGAGTTAACATGGTGCAGGACTTTCTCTTCAGTCTTCGCGGTCCAGCTTGCCGAACCGGTGAAGCCAATCGAGTGCTTGCTCTTGAAGACACGCCTGTTGATTATTTCTTCCATTCCCTCGAACGCGCCGCCGCACATGAACAGCACATTGTCGGTCTTGATCTTCAGGAAGTCCTGATGCGGATGCTTGCGCCCGCCCTGCGGCGGGACATTGGCTTCGCAGCCCTCGATTATCTTGAGCAGCGCCTGCTGCACGCCTTCGCCCGACACGTCGCGAGTAATCGAAGGATTGACGCTCTTGCGCGCGATCTTGTCTATCTCGTCTATGTAGATAATGCCCTGTTCGGCGCGCGACACATCGTAGTCGGCAGCTTGAATGAGACGCAGCAGGATGTTCTCGACATCCTCACCGACATAGCCCGCCTCGGTCAGCGAGGTGGCGTCAGCGATGGCGAACGGGACTTGCAGGATGCGCGCAAGCGTCTGTGCTATATGCGTCTTGCCTGAGCCGGATGGACCGAGCATCAGGATGTTCGCCTTCTGAATCTCCACATCCGATTGGGTCTGCGCTGAGGTGATGCGCTTGTAGTGATTATAGACCGCGACGCTAAGAATTTTCTTGGCGAGGCCCTGCCCAACGACATACTCTTCGAGATTCTGGTAAATGAGCTTCGGATTCAGCCCGTTTGCCATCGGATTCGCTATGACATTGGACTGGGCGGGGCCATCTTCCGAGATAATCTGGTCGCAGAGCACAACGCACTCGTCGCAGATAAACACCCTATCCGGCCCCGCGATAAGGCGCTTGACTTGCGCTTGCGCCTTATCACAGAAGGAGCATCGGTAATCGGTGCGGCTTGTCATAGTACGGAAGCTCCCTGTTTATCATTAGTTCAAAAGCATTGGTTCACAGGAATTGTTCGCAGCGTCGGCGCGCGCCGAAACTGCTGACAGAACAATGCGGTCAGTTCATCAGGACTACGTGCCGGCGGAGGACGTTAAGACTTCATCAATCAGGCCGTATTCCAGCGCCTGTTCCGCACTCAGTAGTGGTCGCGGTCGGTGTCCTGGGTGATTTTCTCGAAGGACTGGCCTGTGCTCTTGGACAGGATAGTGCGAATCTTGTCCTGCAAGCGCAGGATTTCGCGCGCGGCAATCTCAATATCGCTCGCCTGTCCCTGCGCTCCACCCATTGCCTGATGCATGTGGATGGTGGAGTCCGGCAGGGCGAATCGCTTGCCCTTCGAGCCGGCAGTGAGCAGTACGGTTCCCATGCTCGCCGCCAAGCCCACGCAGATGGTGGACACGTCGGGGCGGATGAGGTTCATCGTGTCGTAAATCGCAAGCCCGGCGTAAATCACGCCGCCCGGCGAGTTGATATACAGGCTGACGTCGCGCTCGGGGTCCTCCCTGTCGAGGAAGAGAAACTGAGCGATGATGGCGTTCGCAACCTGGTCGTTGATTGGCGTTCCCAGATAGACGATGCGCTCTTTTAGCAGCATCGAGTAGATGTCGTATGCGCGCTCGCCGCGCGGACCAGACTCCACGACCATCGGTATCACATTCTCAGGCCCACCACTATGCAGTAAGTCTCTGGCGCTCAAATCTTCGGGCCTAAACAGCATCAGTGTATTCTCCTTAATGTCAGGGGCTTCCCCCTGCAAGTAGTCGCTATTAGTTGGTTTGGGTATCTTCGGATTCGTCGGTTTCATCCGAATCCGAATCGGACTCAGCTTCAGGTTCAGGTTCAGACTCCGGCTCTGGCTCATCGACGGCTTCGGCTTCGGCCTGCTCAGGCGCTTCGCTACTTGCGATAGCAACGAGCCGCTCCATCACCTTCTCCGAGTGCATCATGCGCCTAATCGAGGTTTGCATGTCTTCGGTTATTTCAGGAGTCTGGAACTCATCCCCCATCTGTTCTTTGTTCTGCTCGATCATGGACTGAATGCGCTCGTCCACATCGTCGTCCGTGACTTCTATTCCCTCCGCCTCGCCGAGTTTCTCCAGAGCGACGGCGCGCTTGATTCGAGTTATCGCTTCCTCGCGCAGTTGCTCGCGCAGTTCATCCTCAGAACTGCCTACGGAGCGCAGATAGTCGTCAAAGCGGATATTGATGCGGGCGAGAGTTTGCGCCTGCTCGTTCAGCATATAGTTGACCTCATTGTCGATAATCACCGGCGCAATAACAGCAGTCGCGCCCTCAAGCAGGCTGTCGATGGCGTTCTGCCGAAGTCCCTGCTCTGCCGTATTCTCGAATTCGGTCTTGAGTTCCTCCTCGACCTGTTCGCGCAGCGCCTCCAGGGAGTCGTAGCCTTCACCTATGCCCTGGGCGAACTCTTCATCCAGTTCAGGAAGGACGCGCTCCTTGACATCGCTCACCGTAACTGACACCTGCACAGATTTGCCCGCCACTTCATCGACAGGAAAATCGTCGGCAACCGTCAGTTCGAACTCTTTCAGCGTATCCAACTCAGCGCCTACAAGCGCCTCGGGGAATCCGGGGAATGGGCGATCTGCATCCTCAACCAGCAGATACACGGTGTCCGTCTCGTCGAGAATGTTCTCCCCGTCCACAGTGCCAGTAGCCGTCATGGTGACCATGTCGTCCATCGCTACCGGACGCTCAACAGGCTCCCATGATGCCATGCTGTTTCGAAGCCGTTCCAGCCTCTCTTGGACATCTTCTTCGCCAACTTCTGACTTTTCCACTTCGACGCGGATGCTTTTGTAATCGCCGATTTCGACTTCGGGCTTGAGGGGAACGGTTGCCTTGAAGGTTACAGGATCCAGGTCCAGAACTTCCATGTTGGGCATGCCGCCGGGTTCCAGATTTTGCTCGTCCATTGCCCTGCCCGTAACTTCGGGCAGCATGGTGTCGAGCACTTCATTCAGCAGCGCCTCGCGCCCAACGAATTGCATTACGATGTGGCGAGGCACGCGACCTCTGCGAAAACCCGGGTAGGTGATGTGCGGTCTTACTTTCTGGTAGCCAAAATCGAGATAAGGTCGGATGTCCTCATCTTCCATCTCAATGTGCAGCACAGTCTGAAGGTCAACAATTTCCCCTTGAGTTATTCGCACGAAAGTCTCCTGAAAAGCATCTACGGAACTAATATGATTATAGCACGTACATTGTGCGCTAGAAAACAAACGAATAAGTCATTGATTCGCGGACTTTTCCTGTCCTATATTGATGTTGACATGCGCAATGCGGTTGTTTACGATGCAAGAAATGAGCTTGCAGCATATTTCGACTTAAACTCCGGGCAACTTAAACTCTGGGCTACGGAGCAGATATAAGGGGCAACGAGGATGCCTGACTATCAACAGGAAATCGAGGACATACTGAGAAAGGCTGAGGCTGAAGCGCCTCTGCCCTCCCCGCAATCGCGACGCGGCCTGCGCACTATGGTGTGGCAGTATGCGCGGCAGTCGTTGAATAGCAACGCCTGGGGCGTCTCGCCGGGCAAGATCATGCTGGCGGCGCTGGGAATACTGCTCGCGGCGTTCCTGCTGCGACCACTGGTGCCGGGGATGTTCGGACTGCTCGCCTGGGCGGGCCTGATTATATTCATCGTCGCCTACGGCATGGTCTTCCTCAAGCCATCGAAGGGGGGCCAGCGCAAAATGTGGCGGCGGCGCTACCTAGACGAAGAGGAAGGCGACGACGGCGATTCGTGGTGGAAGGGTCTGAAGCGGCGCTTCAAGCGATAGTCGTCCGCAATCACCGCAGACATACGAAGGGGCAGGCTTAACGCCTGCCCCTCTTTTCATGCTAAAAGTATTCGCTAACGATGTGTTGCGTTGCCGTCGGTTAGACCGCGCACTCGCCTTCGCCGCGCTCCAGCACATACTTGACCGTCTTGTCCCAGTCTATATACTGCTCAAGCGTCTCCCTGTTGAGGTCGGGCAATTCCCTGAAATCGCCCAACATCGTCTCGAAGTAGTCTTTGCCCTGGCGCAGCACGTAGTCCTTGAACAACTCGCCGTCGCCGTGGCTGTCCTGATAGTCGGAGACAATCCTCTTAAGAGCTTCAGGCGCGCGCTTGGCGGGAATCTTCGCCTTGATGCGCTGTCCGAAGCGCGGGTCGTCCTGAGAGTAGCTTCCGCCGAGGAACAGTTCGTAGGCGGGCACCTGCCCTCCCGGTCCCTTTGCTGCCGCGCCGTGGAAGCCGATGTCCGCGATGTGATGCTGGCCGCAGCCGTTGGGGCAGCCGCTCATCTTGACATGCATCTGGCGCACCAGCGGGTCTGACTTGTCCACATGCTCCACGGCATCGGTAAGCGCCCTTCCAAGACCCATCGAGGAGGTAATGCCGAGCTTGCAGCTGTCGGTGCCGGGGCAGGACACGATGTCCGTAATCTCGTGCGCGCCCGCGCCGCCGAAGCCGATGTCGCTCAGTCGCTGCCAGACTTCGTACAGAGCGTTCTCAGGCACCCAGCGGAATGTGAGGTTCTGCTGGTGCGTGATGCGCGCCCGACCGCCGGCGTATTTGCGCGACATGTCGGCGAGCTGGTGGAATTGCCTGCCGTCGATGTCGCCGAGAGGCAGCCGAACCGTGACGGCTTTGTAGCCGTCTTGCCGCTGCGACTCCACATTGCTGTTCATCCAGTGCTCGAACTCGGGATCGCTGCCGAAAGCGGCGTAGTTGCCGTCGAGCGGCGGCGCGTCAACGGACTCGTCCTCGACGAACATGAGGTCGGTGGGGTCGAATGAGCGCTGCGCCCAAGGCTGCTGGATTTCCTCTTCGAGCTCCTTCTTGAACTCGTCGATGCCGATTCGGGCGATGTAGAACTTGATGCGCGCCTTCATGCGATTGCGGCGCAGTTCGTTTGTCCGATGGAAGATGCGGAGAAGCGCCTCTGTAGCCTTTAGGTACTCTTCGACAGGTATGAATTCGTACAGCGTGGGCGCGATGCGCGGCATAATCGAAGTGCCGCCGCCGACCACCATCTTGAAGCCCTTTTTGCCATCCTGAATACGCGGAAGGAAGCCGACATCGTGGATGGGCGTGATGGCGCAGTCGTTGTCGCAGCCGGAGAACGCGCTCTTGACCTTGCGCGGCAGGGCCTGGCTGAACGGATGGCGCACGAAGTAGCGCGCATAGGCTGCCGCGTAGGGCGTGACGTCGAACGGCTCGTTGGCGCAGACGCCCGCGATGGCGCAGCCCGTAACATTGCGCACGGTGTTGCCGCATGCTTCGCGAGTGCTAAGCCCAACATCGCCTAGGAGCCGCATAATCGCCGGCCCGTCTTCGAGCCTGATGTGGTGGAACTGGAAGTTCTCGCGCGTGGTAACATGCCCCTTCTTGAGAGGAGCGTATTCATCGGCGAGCACACCAAGGGCGTCCATCTGGTCGGCGTTCAGCCCACCAAACGGGCACTTGATGCGAAACATCTGGGCGTCCATCTGGCGCTGTCCATAGACGCCCTGCCGCAGTCGGAACGCCATAAAGTCGTTTTCCGACCACTCACCCGCTCGGAAGCGAGCCACCTGCGTCTCAAAGTCGCTAATTTCTTCAGGAAGTATCTCTAGGATGCCCTGGGTACGAGGCTTCCACTCAGTCTGGGTCATTCTCTACGGTCTCCTTCTGCGGATTGATAGGTCTTCAGTTTAATTCCAACTAACATGTTCGGTTCGGCAATCGCGCTTCAAATAGAAACCCCGCTCATTACTTGATTGAGCGGGGTCTGCTTTTCATCCAGCGAAGCCTGTCTGCGCGACCCCTAGCGGTCGTTCATACAGGCGCAAATGATGTTGAAAGCGCATTGCAGCATAATGGATAACTCTAACAATAGGGCATCTTCTTGTCAACCTAATGCCAAGTGTTTTCCAGAACACCGCGCATCGCCATGTTCCATGTGTCATTCAGTTGAACTCACGCCCGCGCCGCCATTCCTGTTTGACGAAATAGGGTTAGGATAATAAAATAGCCTTCATTACTTTGTGCCATTTGCCACAAAGCATGAAGCAGTCCAATACGGAATAAGCAGCTAGTAAGAGGTTCGGAGGGCTATGGACTCTGTGGAAGTCCCTGAAGTAGTGGTTCTGAGGCTGCCCCTTTATGTAAGAGCGTTGTCGCAGCTAATGTCTGAATCGATCGATGTAGTAAGTTCGCAGCAGCTCGGCGGCCTGCTGCAGATGACGCCCGCGCAGATTCGCAAGGATCTGAGTTACTTCGGGAGGTTCGGCAAGCAGGGCAGAGGCTACGATGTGCGCTTCCTGCTGCACGAGCTGCAAGAAATCCTCGGACTCGACCGCGAGTGGCGCGCATGCCTCGTTGGAGTCGGACGGCTCGGGCGGGCTATCATCAACTACCCCGGCTTCTACCGCGAGAACTTCCGCATCGTTGCCGCATTCGACGGCGATCGCGCACAGGTGGGCAGCACGATTGGCGAGTTCAATGTGCAATCCATGGACGAGTTAAGCGACACAGTTATCGACAAGAAGATTTCGATCGGCATCGTGGCGGTGCCGGCGCAGCAGGCGCAAAACGTCATAGATGTGCTGATAGAGAACAACATCAAGGGCATCCTGAACTACGCGCCGGTTGCGGCCAAGGTGCCGATGAACATCGTGGTGCGGAACATCGATCCCGTGCTCTCGCTGCAGTCCATGACCTTCTACCTGCGAGAATTGGAGTGATGCCGGTCCATTTGTCGTGAAATACGGCTAAGGAAAGAATAATGCGAGAGGGGCGGCTGTAATAGCCGCCCCTCTGCTTTGCTCTGTATGTGATAAGTCCTTCGACACGCTCAGGACGAACGCGAGTATGTCGCTATGATGACTGCTGCGGTGGCGCGGCCCCATCGCCGCGACGTGGTCGGCGGCGTCTCGCTGCCAGCACTCGCGCTTGCGAGCGTCTGAGCGTCATCACGGCGCGCTGCAAGTCCATGTCGGAGGTGCCGCTGACGATGCGCTCTTCAGCGCGGCGCACTGCCGCCTCGGCGCGCTCTATGTCGATCTCTTCGGCGCGCTCAGCGGTGTCCGCGAGTATCGTAACCCTGTTCGCAAGGACTTCAAGGAAGCCACCGCTGACCGCCATGTAATTTTCCTCGCCATTTTTGTCAACGCGAATCTCGCCCGGCTGCAACGCGGTCAGCAGCGGAGCGTGGTTGGGCAGGATGCCAAGCTGCCCGTCGATTCCGGGGGCGACGAGCATATCGACATCCTCGGAATATACCATCCGCTCGGCGGTTACTATTTCAAGTCGCATTGCAGCCATTTTCAGCCACTCCCAGAGATGGGAGACATCACTCCCATCCTAACCTTCCCGCATCAAGGGGGAAGGGACTTTATGTTATCAGCAATACTTAGGGCTAATTTACTGCTGCCATCTGCTCGGCGCGCTCGACGGCTTCGTCGATTGTGCCGACCATGTAGAATGCCTGCTCCGGCAGTTCGTCGTGCTGGCCGTCGAGAATCTCCCTGAAGCCGCGCACCGTCTCGCGTATTGGCACAAAGCGGCCCGGCGAGCCGGTGAACACTTCCGCAACGAAAAAGGGCTGCGTGAGGAAGCGCTGTATCTTGCGCGCCCTAGCCACAATCTGGCGGTCTTCGTCGGAAAGCTCCTCAATACCCAGAATTGCGATGATGTCCTGCAAGTCCGTATAGCGCTGGAGTACCTGCTGCACGCCGCGCGCCACATCGTAGTGCTCCTGACCGACAACGCCAGGCTCAAGGATGCGGGAGAACGATGTCAGCGGGTCGACGGCGGGATACAGGCCCTGCGACGCCAGGGAACGCTCAAGCGCTACGACCGCGTCGAGGTGTCCGAAGGTTGTTACGATGCCGGGGTCGGTGTAGTCGTCCGCGGGCACGTAGATTGCCTGGAAGGATGTAATCGAGCCGTTGAGGGATGATGTGATGCGCTCTTCGAGGTCGCCCATCTCGGTTCCGAGCGTCGGCTGGTATCCCACTGCGGAGGGCATTCTGCCCAGCAGCGCGGAGACTTCCATGCCCGCGAGAATGTAGCGATAGATGTTGTCAACGAAGAGGAGACGTCCTGGCCGCGCTCTTCCTTGAAGTACTCAGCCATGGTGAGGCCGGTCAGACCGACGCGCGCACGGATTCCGGGCGGCTCGTTCATCTGACCGAACACGAGCACTGTGTTGGCGAGCACGCCGGACTCCTGCATCTCGCGCCAGAGGTCGTTGCCCTCGCGCGAGCGCTCGCCCACGCCTGCGAAGACGGACACGCCTTCGTGCTCCTCGCTGATGTTGCGGATAAGCTCCTGAATGATAACCGTCTTGCCAACACCCGCGCCGCCGTAAGCGCCGACCTTGCCGCCCTTGGTGAAGGGGGTTATCAGGTCCATCACCTTGATGCCGGTTTCCAGAATCTCGACCTGAGTCGCCTGGTCATCGAAAGTAGGAGGCTTGCGATGGATGGGCCAAATGTCGTCGGACTCGACTTCTTCGAGGCCGTCGAGCGTCTCGCCGAGCGCGTTGAAGAGCCTGCCAAGTGTGGGGTCGCCCACAGGAACAGAGACGGCGTTGCCTGTGTCAACTGCGTCAACGCCGCGCACAAGGCCTTCGGTCGCGCCGAGCGCGAGGCAGCGAACCCAGTTGTTGCCGATGTGCTGCTCAACCTCGAGCACAAGCCTTTCGCCGGCTATGCTGGTCTCCAGCGCGTTGTAGATTGCCGGCATGCCCTCTGCGGGGAACTCGACGTCCACCACAGTGCCGATGACTTGGGTTACCTTTCCCGTTGCCATGGTTCCTCCAAGTAGTAGCTTTCAATTATCGATAGTCGGTATATCGGTCTTCTAGTGGCCTTCACGAATGCTGCATCGGAAGCTGAAAACGACCACCGAAGACTATCCTATTATTCGACAGCCGCGACACCACCTATGATGTCCAGCAGTTCCTTCGTTATCGTTTCCTGTCGCGCCTTGTTCATCACGAGCGTAAGGTCATCCACCATCACATTTGCGTTGTCGGTGGCGTTTCGCATCGCAACCATGCGCGCCGATTGCTCGCTGGCTATTCCTTCAAGCAGGAAGTGGTAGAGCTGCATCTCCACATATCGGGGAAGCAGCGCATCCAGCACGGGGCGCTCGTCCGGCTCGTAGATGTAGCCCACAGCCTGTGAGGCTTCAAGCTCCGCCGGAACGACGGGCAGAAGCTGCTCAACGACCGGGCGCTGTTGAGTGACATTCACAAACTGCGCGTAAGCGACAAATACGGCGTCAACCTCTTCGTTGGTAAACGAGTCTATGACTATGCGCGCTACTGGCGTAACATCGTCGAGACTTGGGCGGTCGGGAACATCCGTGAAGACGGCTTGAACATCCTGTCCCGTCCTCACCATGAAGTCTCTGCCCTTCTTGCCCATCGCAATGACCCTGACGCCTGCGTCCTGCTCCACGACGAACTGTCCTGCGGCGCGGTTGATGTTCGAGTTCAAGCCGCCCGTAAGTCCCCTGTCAGGGGTAATGACGACCATCCCCACATTGCGGCGCGGTCGCTCCACCAGCAGGGGATGATGTTCCTCGTCGTCGCGCGTCTGAGCGGCGAGATGCGCCAGAAGCGACTGCATCAGGTCCGAGTACGGTCTGCCGCGCAACGCCGCCTCCTGCGTGCGCCGCATCTTGGATGCCGCAATCATGGACATCGCCTTGGTAATCTTCGCCGTGTTCTCGACGCTGCGAATGCGTCGCCTGATCTGTCTTACGCTTGCCATCTGCCAGTCCCTTCAGCAGTCGAAGCCTGATCGCCGTAGCGTCTAGTAAGGCACATTCGTCTTGAAGTCTGCGATTGCCGCCTTGAGCGCCTCTTCGGTTTCGCCGGAGACGTCCCCCGACTCTGTTATCTGTGCAAGGAGTTCTCGCTGGTTGGATGCGAAGTAGCTCAAGAATGCCGCTTCAAACGCCTGCACCCGCTCAATCTCCACATCGTCGAGGAAGCCGTTTGCCAGCGCGTAGAGAATTGCCGCCTGCTGATCCATCGGCAGCGGCGAGTTCATGCCCTGCTTCAGGATTTCGGTGGAGCGCTGCCCGCGTTCGAGCTGCCGGCGCGTGGCGGCGTCGAGGTCCGCCGTGCCGAACTGCGCGAATGTTTGCAGTTCGGCGTATTGCGCGAGGTCGAGGCGGAGGCTGCCTGCCACGCCCCTGATAGCGCGCGTCTGAGCCGCGCTTCCCACGCGTGACACCGAGAGACCGGCGTTCACTGCCGGGCGTATGCCGGAGTTGAACAGTTCAGGCTCAAGGTAAATCTGCCCGTCCGTAATCGAGATAACATTGGTCGGCACATACGCCGACACGTCGCCCGCGAGCGTCTCGATGATGGGCAGAGCGGTTATGGAACCGCCGCCGTTCGCGTCATCGAGCTTGGCTGCGCGCTCAAGCAGCCGGCTGTGCAGGTAGAAGACATCGCCCGGATATGCTTCGCGGCCCGGCGGGCGGCGCAGCAACAGCGACATCTGGCGATATGCCCAAGCGTGCTTGGACAAGTCGTCGTAGATGATGAGGGCATCCTTGCCCTGCCACATGAATTCTTCCGCCATCGCGCAGCCCGCGTATGGCGCGAGATACTGCATCGCCGCAGGGTCGGCTGCGTTTGCCGCAACAACGATAGTGTGCTCCATAGCGCCATGCTCTTCGAGCAGCGCTACCGTCTGCGCCACCTTACCGACCCTCTGACCTATGGCGACATAGATGCAGATGAGGTCGCCGCCCTTCTGATTGATGATGCTGTCAAGTGCGATTGCCGACTTGCCGGTGGAGCGGTCGCCGATGATAAGCTCGCGCTGCCCGCGGCCAACGGGAATCATGGCGTCGATAGCCTTGATGCCTGTCTGCACCGGGGTGTTCACCGAACTACGGATTGCCACGTTCGGAGCGACCACTTCGACAGCGCGCGTCTTGCTCGTGCCAAGCGGCCCCTTGCCATCGATGGGCTGGCCCAGCCCGTCCACGACGCGCCCGATAAGCTCGTCACCCACGGGCACGACCACGACGCGGCCGGTGCTTCGGACCTCTGAGCCTTCCCTCACCACAAGCGGGTCGCCGAGAATCACGGCGCCAACGCTGTCCTCTTCGAGGTTGAGCGCCATGCCCATAACGCCGCCCTCGAACTCAAGCAGTTCGCTGTAGGCAGCGCCGGACAAGCCATGAATCTGCGCGATGCCGTCGCCGACCTCAATGACCGTGCCGACATCCACCATGCTCAGGTCACGCCCGAACTCTTCTATCTGGCGCTTAATTACTGAAGCAATATCTTGTCCTCTGACTGCCATGCAGCTCCTCCGTCTGGAAGCGACACACCGTTGGTGTGTCGCAGATGTTTTTGTGCTCTCTGAGCCTTAGACTACTTTGCCTGAGCGCGAGGTTGATAGTATGAAACCGCGCCTCCGAAGGCCATTAACACAGGTTATTGGCACAGGTTGTAGGTACAGGTTATAGGCCATGCGCCAGTTGGCGTCGCAAATCGTCCAGCCTCGTTCGCGTGCTGCCGTCTATCACCTTGTCGCCGACGCGCGCTACGAAACCACCAAGTATATGCGGCTCCACCCTCGATGTCGCCGTAATGTTCTTGCCCACAATGTCCTTGAGCATCGTCTCTATACGCTGCTGCTGCTCGTCGCTCAATGTGATGGCGGAGACAATCTCCGCGCGCTCGATGCCGTTGTACTCATCCAGCATCTCCTGATACGACTCCGTAATGCTCCGAGCGAGCCGCGCGGAGTTGCGAGAGGCGAGCAGGGAAACAAGGTTCAGAGCGAGCCTGCTGACTGAATCACCGAGCGTCTCTTCGATCAGGTTTATCTTCTGGCTCAATGTAGGTTGCGGCGCGTCCAGGAAGTTAGCGAAGTCGTCGTTAGCCATCGCGTCCGAGAGCAAGGCGAGATCGTCAAGCCATCTACCAGGCTCGCCCTGTTCCAACGCTATGGCGAAGACCGCCTGGGCGTATCTCCTCGCTGAAGCTCCCCTTGCCATATCACCCTTCTCGTTTCAATGTTGTGCTATCGACCGCCGACTGCACGCCGCCAACCGATAGCAACCCATTTACAATTTCTGTTGTACTCAGCCTAGTTGCGACTTATTCGAGAGTCGCTCTCTTCCAGAACGCGGTCGATGATGTCCTGATGCGCCTGCTGGTCGAGCGAGCGTTCAACCACGCGCTCGGCAGCCGTTATCGCCAGGTCAGCGAACTCGCTGCGAAGCTGCTCGATAGCGGTGTCGCGTTCGCGCTGGATATTCGCTGTGGCTCGAGAGCGCTCAGCCTCGATCTCCTGCCTGACCTTGGCGGTCTCTTCTTCGCGGAAGCGGCCCGCGACTTCTCGCGCGGAAGCGATGAATTGCTGGCCTTCGGCGCGGGCGGCTTCAAGCTGCGCCTGCACCTCTTCCTGAGACGCCGCAGATTCTTCCCTTGCGCGTTCAGCGGCTTCAAGGCTATCCCTGATGCGCTGAGAGCGCTGGTCAAGCATGTTCACGATGGGCTTGTACAGGAATATCTTCAGCACGAAAAGCAGTATCAGGAAACTGACCACATGCGTAATCAGGCCGGGTAGGTTAATCCCCAAAGCTTCCATGCCTTCTCCTCTACTTTGGTCCCGACCCGGCGCGGGCATACGCCCGACTGGGCTGGAAAGCGGGACGCTAGACGAACTTGATGATGATTGCCATGACCAGCGCGTAGATGGCGATAGCTTCGGTGAACGCGATAGCCAGAATCATGTTCTGCTGAACCAGACCGGCGGCATCGGGATTGCGGCCAATAGCCTCCATGGCCTTCGCGGCCAGCAGTCCGATACCAATGCCGGGACCGACAGCGCCAAGACCTATCGCAAGCCCAGCGCCCAAACTCTGAAATTCATCCATTTTCCACTACTCCTTCATATAGTTTTCTGTGCACCCTGTACTTTTCAGGTACTGCGCATTTTAAGGCTAGTGATGCTCCTCGCCGCCGTGTGCGGTCGTTGCCATGACCGCAAAACCAGAGTGAGCATGGCGAAGATGAACGCCTGGATTGCCCCCACGAACAGCTCCAGCCCCAGGAATGGGATGATGCCGATGAGCGGGAACAGGAACGCCATCGCTACCAGCAGCACCTCGCCGGCAAAGATGTTGCCGAACAGCCGGAAGGTGAAGCTGACAATTTTCGCAAACTCGCTGATGCCTTCGAGTATTCCCACGAAGAACCCGATGGGGCCTTCCTTGAAGTTTATGAACTTGCCTAGATGACCGAAGATGCCCAGCGTGGAGAAGCCCCAGAAGTGAATCATAACCATCGCTATCAGCGCAATCGACAGCGTGGTGTTCACATCGGTGTTGGCGCTGCGCAGGAACGGAACAAGCAATCCTGCCTGCTTGCCCTCGCTGGCGCCGTGCTGCTCTTCCCACTCCGCTGCGGTAATGTCCTCGCCCAGCGAGCCGAAGCTCAGGTAGCCGAAGCCGCCCTCGCCCTCGAACACCTGCATGTGAATATCGTTCAGGTCGGCGTGCTCGCCTGCCTTTTCAGCCTTTTCCTCGGCATGGTGGATTATCTCTTCCGGTGACTCTATCCAGCCGACAGTGCCGAAGCCCGGAAGGATGCCGACCCAGTTGGAGACCATGATGAACAGGAAGATAGTCATCACGAGGGGGAAGAAACGGCGCGCCCGCTGCGCGCCTGCGATGCGCTCGCACAAGTCCAGGAAGAACTCGATGAAGACTTCGACGAGGTTCTGCAAGCCTGTGGGCACTTCGCTCATTCGACGCGTCGCGAAGAATGATATGACCAGCAAAACAACGATGGTAATCCATGCGGTTACCATCGTATTCTTTACCGTAAAGCCGAATATCTTAGCGGGAATGAATGGTTCGGCAGGGATTTGAATATGCGGCAGTGGAGCGCTCAGAAAGCCAAGTCCGAACGCATTCCCCAATGCCCCGCCCAATAGACTGACCACAAATGCAATAAGCGCGATTATGAGTATTGCCAGTGTCTTAGGATTGCTAAGCATCGACGCTATCTTCTACCTTTGTTCAGCATCAGAGTTCGATTTGGCGGCGGAAACCGCGTTATTTACCTGAGTTGGCGGGAAAGATCTCCGCTAACCATCAGAATTGGCGGCAAAGACCGCCAATATCATTCGGACCATTCCGACCACCGCCACAGCTATGCCCAGTCCCAGCCCTAGCAAGGTGAGCAGCGGGCTCAAACCGAAATGACGGTCGAGCAAAAATCCGCCGTAAGCCCCGCCTCCGATGCACACCGCCACATACCATCCGATGCCCAGAAGACGGAGTACAAGCGCCAATCTTTCGGCGTTCAAATGCGTCCCCTCCAAGAGCTTGTGTAGTATATCACAATCATTCTGCGAATGTAAATTTTAAGTTTACAAGCCGCAAAAACAGACGGCTCCGCCGGTTTCAGCGGAGCCGTTGAAGTTGACATTATGTGAGCGTGGAATGCGTTACCGATTCTGAGTCGGTGCGTCTCCCTGCCCCTGCCCCAGATCCAAGTCTAGCGAGCCGATAAAGTCCTCGAACGCCGATAGCCCGGCGCGCTCCTCTTCACTGACAGGGCGCGCCTCTGCATCTTCTTCATCCTCTTCCTGCACCGCCTTGCCAGTCTCCTGGTCCAGCAGTATCGCGGCCTTCTCGACGACCGAGTCCTCTGCGTAGATTGGCGACTCCGTGCGAACGGCGAGCGCCAGCGCGTCGCTGGGCCGTGAGTCCACCTCCATCGTGGAGCCGTTGACCTGAAGCACGATCTTTGCGAAGAAGGTGTCGTCGGAAAGGTCGTGGACGACAATCCTGTCCACGGTGGCATCAAGCGAGGATATGACATCGAACAGCAGGTCGTGTGTCAGCGGCCTCGGTACGGTGACATTCTGGAGCTTGAGAGCGATGGCGTCCGCCTCGCTGGGCCCAATCCATATTGGCAGGTACTTGTCAGTGTCCTTTACTCGAAGAATTACCACCCGCTGCTGGTTCATAAGGCTAACGCGAATGCCGTCAATGACTAATTCCAGCATTAGACCATCCCCTCCAAAATTATCCACTCCGCATGTGAGCCTATTGTAAGCACACGGCATAAAGGTGTCAACGCATGCACAGGAAGTTATCCCGCGCGCCCTATGGCTGTGGCATTTCCCTGGACGGCTGCCCTTTCATGCGCCGTTCCAGCGCCGAACGAGCCATGGTTACACGACGCTGACAGCCTACGCAGACTATGCCGATATCCGCGCCCACACGAACCACGCGCCAGTCAAACTCGCCGCAAGGATGCCGCTTCCTCAGCCGCACGAAGTCGCCGATTTCATACTGCGTTACCACGGCGCGCCCTCCTGCGCCAGCACGCGGTTGATGTCATCACGCAGTCGTGCTGCAGCATGCGCGCGCCGTCCGCGAACCCGTCTGCGCTGCGGTCCGCGTAGATTATTCCGCGAGACGAGTTTATGAGAATGTTGGGCGACTTGCACATTCCGTCATCGCTGCAGTCCATGCCGTTCTTCACAGACGCCTCTAATTCGCCGCCCTGCGCTCCCACGCCGGGTATGAGGATAGGCACTCCGGGGCAATGCTCCCTGACGATGCGGAGTTGCTCCGGGGAGGTTGCGCCGACCACCAGCCCCAAGTTGCCGTTGGCGTTCCACTTTGACGAGCGCACGGCCATCCATTCGTAGAGCGGCATTTTCTGTCCCGATCCGTCCATACCAAGTTCCTGGGCGTCCGGCGAAACTATTATGTCCTGGAACTCGCGCGCGCCAGGATTGGACGAGCGGCACACCACGAACACGCCCCTGTCAGAATAGTTGAAGAAGGGCGACAGCGATTCGCCGCCCATATAGCCGTTCACCGTCACCGCATCGAAGCCCCAGTAGTCGAACATCGCCTCGGCGTATTTGACGCTCGTGGAATCTATGTCGCCGCGCTTGGCGTCTGCCAACAGAACGGCATCCGGAGCGGTCTTGCGAATGTACGCGGTCGTGTCCCGCAGCGCGGCCAGTCCCTCCAGTCCAAGCGCCTCGTAGAATGCGATGTTGGGCTTGTAGGCGCACACCAAGTCCTTCGTCGCATCCACTATTGCGCGGTTGAATGCTCGCACATCCGCAATCGGCATCAGCGCGGCATCTATATCTAATCCCACGCATACCAGACTGCGATTGGTGCGCGCCGCGTTGTCGAGTCTGTTCTTGAACTTACTCAATCGTCCCTCACACTACGCTGGATGACAGCGTTGATATTGCCACCCTTTCAGTTTAATATCGCTCTGCACACGCCACAAGTGCCCTACTCTTCTTTAGATGCGAAATACCCATGCCAGATTCTGCCTTAGACCAACGGTTACTGAGCATCCATGATCGTATGCTGGCGCATTACGGCGGGCAGCACTGGTGGCCCGCAGACACGCCGTTCGAGATGATGGTCGGCGCTGTGCTGACTCAGGCTACTTCGTGGACGAATGTGAGGATTGCAATACGCCGACTGATACGAGCCGATGCGCTACGCCGCAGCCATTCGCTGCATGGACATCGAGACATTGGCGGCGCTTATTTACTCAAGCGGCTTCTACAACGCCAAGGCACGCAAATTCAGCGCGCTGGCTCAGTTTCTTGGCGATGCCTATGCAGACGACATCGACGCGATGCGATCGGAAGACGGCGCGAAGTTGCGGCGTGAACTGCTAGGGGTAAAGGGCATCGGCGAGGAGACGGCGGACGCCATCCTGCTCTACGCGCTGGAAAAGCCGTCGTTCGTCATAGACGCCTACACGCGCAGGCTCGTCAGTCGGCTCGGCATCGCGCCCAACTCTGAAGCGCACTCGGCATACCAGAAACTATTCAGCGACAATCTTCCACAGGACACCGCAATGTTCGCCGAATATCATGCGCTCATTGTGCAGCACGGCAAAGAGGCATGCGCAAGAGGCCGGTGTGCGAGGGGTGCTGCCTGAGAAGCGTCTGCCCAACGGGTCGCGCATATACAGAAGCGGCTAAATGCCCTTGAACCACTCCGTGAATTGCGCCGCCAGCGTCTCGTCGCCTGACAGCGCAATGCGCCCGCGCCGGACTGAGCGCCGCTAGTTGCAGCCTGCCGTAGCAGAACAGCAGGTAGGTGTCGGTGTCGCAGCTAAATATGACATCTGCCGGCGAATCGTCGGAGGGCGCGTGAATGAAGCTGTCGCCGTTCACCGTCACATCGTAGCCGCCAGCGGCGTCAGTCAAGTCGAAGCGATAGCGTATCGGAGTGTCCAGCGGTTCGCTCCTCTGAAAGCCGGTACGCAGCCATCGCCACACAAAATCCTTTAAGAAGGTCTTAGCTCGGTTGCTCAGTTTCGCGCTGCGGTCGATGGGATAGCGCACATCCCAGGAATGAATCGCCAGCTCGGACGCCCGAATGTCTATGAGGCGATCCACGCTGATTACGAAGTAAGGATGCCATGTGGGAAGCGAATAGGAAGCCTCGTCCAGTTCCACAAGCAGCGTGTTGAAGCGCTTGCAACTCGCGTTGAAGTCGTAGAACAGGTCCTCGTGGATGGCGTTGCGCGTGTCCACCAGCCGCTCCATGCCCTGCTCAGGGGTCGCTGGACGTGACCAGCCCATCGGCGGGTCCGTTATGCCCTTGACGGCGTTGGTGATGCTCAAGCCGAACACATTCCCACCAAGAATCAGGTGCGTTATGACATCGGCAATCTTCCAGCCTTCGCACGCGCTGGCGTACATATCCGGGTCGCGCCAGATGTTCTCAGGCAGCGTATGCAGGTACGCCGCCATCTCATTCGACAGGTCGCGCACGAGCTGAATGCGCTCCTTGACTTGCTGTGCGTCGCTCATAGTGCCGCCTTTATCTCCTCAGCGATTTCGTGTTCGCGCCCGATGTCGACCTGAACCTTGTCGAGTATGTCCTGTGAACGTCGTTCCAGCACCGCGATGTGCGGAGGGCCGTCGCCCCAGAGACTGCTCTTGCGGCGAGGCACCACATGCATGTGGAAGTGCGGTACTTCCTGCATGCTGGCGACGCCGTTGTTATTGTACAGCGTGATGCCGCCCGGCGAGTATGCCTTCACCATAGCGGCGGACACCCTGCGAACAGCGCCCATAAGAGCCGCTGATTCTTCGTCGGTCAGATCCAGGATGGTTGGGGCATGCCTGCGCGGGATGACGAGCGCCTGTCCAATCTCAAATTGCCTGTGGTTCACTATCGTTAGCGTCTGCGCAGTCTGTTCTACAAGTCCCTTGTCGAGCCGCCCGGCTATCATCTCGCAGAAGACGCAGGGTGTCATGACTGGAAGTTCAAAGGGCGCGTTCATCAAATCCGTCCCACCGATTACTCTGACATCGGCGTTCACAGCATCTACTATTCTGTGAACTTGTCGCATATATCGCCAACACCAACCTTGTCTAAAGCAGTGCGAATTGCAATGCGCTCCAAGGCGTTCAGATCATCGCTCGGTCGTTCCATAAGCTCTACTACGGCTTCGGGAACGCCTTTCTCACGCGCCACCTCAACGCAAGATTTCGGCGTGCAGCAGATGTAGAGCACGCAAGCACAAGGAGAATGAAGGGCGCCAAAACCAATTTGACAACTATGGTTTTCAATACACGGTCATCAATACACTAAAGGCCCTTGTCCACAATGAATGCGGCAAGGTCAGCGGTGCGGCAGCTGTATCCCCACTCGTTGTCGTACCAGCCCACTACCTTGACCATGTTGTCGCCAACGGTCATTGTCGATAGGGCGTCCAGAACGCAGCTATGCGGGTTTCGTACAATGTCGCTGCTGACTAGCGGTTCCTCGCTGTACTCCAGCACGCCGTTCAACCCATTGGCGGCAGCCTCCTTGTACGCTGCGTTCACCTCGCCGGCGGACGCGGGCTGCTTCAGCGTGGCAACGAAGTCTGTTACCGAGCCGGTCGGTGTCGGAACGCGCATAGCCATGCCGTTCAGCTTGCCGTTCAGCTCAGGCAGCACAATGCCGACAGCCTTGGCCGCGCCCGTCGAAGTGGGAATGATGTTCACCGCGCCTGCGCGCGCCCGCCGCAAGTCCGAGTGTCCCCCGTCCAGCATCCGCTGGTCGTTCGTGTAGGCATGAATCGTGGTCATCAGCCCCTGCTCGACACCGAAGCTGTCGTTGAGCACTTTGGCCATAGGCGCAATGCAGTTCGTGGTGCAGGATGCGTTGGAGATTATGTTGTGTAACTGCGGGTCGTAGCGATGTTCGTTCACTCCCAGGACGAGCGTAATGTCCTCGCCACTGGCCGGAGCGGAGATGATAACCTTCTTCGCTCCGGATTCGAGATGCGCCGCCGACCTGCCCGCATTGGTGAAGGCACCCGTGCATTCGATCACGAGGTCAACGCCTTCGTCGCCCCAACTCAGATTGGAGGGATCTCTTTCCGAAAATGCCCTTATCTCATTCCCGTCTATGACTATGCTCGCACCTGTAACTTCCACAGTGCCCGGATATCTGCCGTATGTGGAGTCGTACTTGAATAGATGCGCGTTAGTCTTCGCATCGGAGTTGTCGTTGACGGAGACAACCTCCAACTTGCCCGCATGGCGCTCCATGATCGCCCGCAGCACCTGCCTGCCGATACGCCCGAACCCATTGATGCCCACGCGAGTTGCCATACTGCTGCGAAGCTCACTTTCTGTCTGCTTCCGGCCTGGAATTGACCGCCTGATTATATCTTGTGCAATACTGCGACTACAAATTGAACCAAGTTAGTTCAGATCGGATTATGTCTCGCCCGAAGTTGAAAATCTGCTCTGCGTTTTGCAGAGCTTCTTGGGCGTCTTCGTACAAATACACTTCGAAGGGTGCGCCGCTCGGCAGGGCGTCGGGATAGCGGGTAGGGATGTAGTACGACTCCAGAGTCTCTGTCATTTCATGAAACCTTGAAAGTTCGGGGTATGAAGTCTCTAAACTACTCACCAATGCCCTCAGGGTATGGCCTCTGACATCGCTGTCACCGCGATAGTAGGCGAGAGCTTTCAAGGTTTTCTCTGCAACCTGCTGGGACATGAAGCAGGCTTGGCTGTAGAAGCCTTCATTCATCATCAGTCGAGCGGATTCAAGGTCGTATTCAGATTGGCGCATCCATATTGCCGCCACTCTGCCGCTATCCTTCATACACTACCACGCCTTCTTGCAGAGCCGTGCATATGAACGGATTATTTCTTCCTCTCATGTTTTCGAGTTCGTCAGGTGTGTAAATCAGAAGGTCAAGGCTCTTGCCCCAAGGGTCCCAAGACCTGAACACAGGTCTGAAGTCCTTGTGTCTCTGAAGAAAGCGCTTGTCCGTCTCCGCCACGATTATCAGATCGAGGTCGCTGTATTCGTTTGCGTCCCCACGCGCGTATGAGCCGAAGACGATTGCGCGCTGAGCATCGCTCGCCGCGAGCGCAGGCGTGAGCGCCTCTCGTATGGCATCCAGTGTTGGAATCTCTGCGCGAGTGTTCATGTCATCCACTTCATCCTGTCCGTCGATGTTTGCCCTGTCAGCCTAAATGCGCGCCATTTCGCGGCGCATCTGCGCCAGCCCCATTGGGCCGATGTTGAGCGCACGGGTATGGAACTCCTTCAGGTCGAATTCAGCGCCCTTGCGCCGCTTGGCGTCCTCACGGGCGTTCAGCCACTCGCGCTCGCCGACCTTGTACGATATTGCCTGCCCCGGCATGCCGAGATAGCGGTCAACCTCGCTCGCCACGAAGTCTTCCGGGAAATGGCTGCGCTGCCGTATGAACTCCAGTCCGAGCTCAGGCGTCCATACTTCGCCGGGGTGATAATCTGAATCAGTAGGAATGGCAAATCCAAGGTGCATGCCGATGTCTATGATCACCCGCACACTGCGAAGTGCCTGCGCGCGCAGCATGCCCAGATAATAGTCGGGGTTTTCGAGGTATCCAAGCTCCGCCATCAGCCGCTCGGCATACAGCGCCCAGCCCTCTATGTAGCCGGAAGTGCCGCCCATTGCCGTCTGGAAGCGCGACAGTTCGCTGGTCAGGTACTTGGCGATGCCGCGCTCGAAGTGATGCCCCGGCACTCCTTCGTGGTATGCGATAGACGCCTCGCCCCATAGCGGAAAGCGCGTCTTGCCGCCGGTCGGATACCATGTACGTCCCGGACGGCTGAAGTCCTCGGACGGCGAAGTGTAGTACATCGCCAGCGCGCCGCCGGGTGGCGCAATCATCGCCTCGATGCGCTGCACAGGCTCAGGGATGTCAAAGTGTGTGCCGTTCAATTCGGCGATGGTGCTATCCTGCAACTCCTGCATCCAGTTCTGAAATGCGTCAACGCCTTCAATGGCGCGGTCCGGGTCGGTCTCCAGGAACTGCTTCGCCGCTTCCACCCCCGCTCCTGCGCCCGGCCCTGCTTCGGACAATACACGCTCTGCCGTCTTCGCCATCTCACTTTCCACCCAGCGAAGCTGCTCCCAGCCCCAATTGTAGGTTTCGACGAAGTCCATGTCTGTGCCGTTGAACGCGCGGGAGGACAGCGCGTAGCGTTCCTCTCCCACACCGTCCTGCTCCACGGCGCCGATCATGTACTCGTCCGTCAGGAAGCGTCCCATATCCGCGTATGCGCTTGCGGCGGCATCGGCGCCGGCAGTAATGTCGCGGCGCAGCGCGTCTGACGCCACGCCGCTAGCGTCGAAGGCATCAAGCAACCCGTGGAAGAACGATGGCGAACCGCCCACGCCCGTCCACACTTGCGCTTGCTCAGCGCATCCGGCTGCCTGACGGCGGCTGCTCGTCTTGGACTGCCGCACGCCCTCTTGCAGGCTTTGGCGGTAGCTTTCCATCCCCTGCGGAACCAGCGCAAGCCTCGCTGCGATATTGCGCCAGTCCTCTTCCTTGTCGCGCGGCATCAGGTCGAACACCTGGCGAATACCCTGGAACGCGCTGCCGAGCACCCGCAGGCTGCGAAAGTGTTCGCCTGCGTCGTGTGTGTCCAGGTCGGTCTGCAAGTCGTCCAGCATGGCGTCTCGTGCGATACGGTCACGCTCGCCTTCGACGGTCGCGGCGTTCAGAGCAGCAATGGTCTGCCGTTTCAGGTCGGCGTTGGCTTCTGCACCTTGCGGCGAGAAGTCCGACATCTTATCGTCGTAGCCCGGTACGCCAATCGATGTTGCGCTCAAGGGGTTCAATGCGGCGTAGCGCTCAACATAGTCGTTTGCAATGTCATAGACTTGGGACATTTTTGAGAGGACCTTTCGATATTAAATGGTAAGAGTCTCACTTAAGGTTAAAGGCCAAACAAATACTCCAATCGCCTCCGGTCATGAACTACATGAATTATCTCAATGCCACCCTGGAGGGCAATGTACAGAATTACATCGTTGTTGGAAGGAAAGCTGCGAACATTCGGAGCCAATTCAGGTCTTGCTCTTCCCATAAGTGGTTGGATTGACAGCAATTCAAACCACTCGAAAAACTGCTGATTTAGACTTCGAGCGTATTCAACGCCTGCAAGATCTACTGCATAATCCCAAATCTGGACTAGCTCCAGTCGCGCTTGGGTCGATAACCTGAAAAGAGCCATTTATTCTGATTCAGCGTTGTCGCGTCTTGCTTCCATTCTTTTCAAGCCCTCTTCCTCGATTTCGTCGAAGAGTTCATGAAGCGTTTCGCTCGTGTATTCAACATATTCCTCATTCGCAATCTGTTCGATTCCGAATTGCACCTTTTCTTTAAGTTTCTTTAAGTTCTTCCAGGTACGTGTCTCGCTCGTCCAGAAGACGCAGCGCCGAATCAATAACGTCGTCCTCTGAACGATACAGGCCAGATTCTACTTTGCGCCGGAGAATTTCTTCCCGCTCTTGTGGAGATAGTGGAGCGTTCATTTTGACTCCCATCATTCAGCCGTAGAATGCGTGCAATCCAGTATTTTACGCCCGCTGCGGCACCGGCGCTCCCTTGTAGAGGCGGCCCCTGTCGCCGACGGTGCGCTCGCGCTCGAAGGACATCACCGGGACGCCGTACCCGCAGCTTGTGCTCGTCTTCTCTATCTCAATATCAATGACTTGTCGCATCGGCAAAGCGATCTCATCGGCGGGCTGCTCCAGAAGCATGTCAACGAGAGGCGAGTCGTCAAGGGGCATTGAGCGCGCGCGACCGTAGAGGCGCACTATGCCCGCGTTTCCTTCCTCGAAGGCACACACCATTACGGTTACGGGGCTTCCCGTTTCCGAATGGCGCGCAGTCTCGTTGCCGCTGCCGGTGTAGTCGAGGTATGCCACGTGATTCGGGCTAATCATGTGCAGCGGCACGCCGCCCTTGGGCGAGACATTAACCGCGTCAATTCTATTGTTCGATTCCTCACCGAAATCTGCCGTGCCCACGAAGAATACAGGAGCGTTGCGAATCATCTCCGCCTGCTCGTCCGTGATATGAGTGTAGTGGCTTGCCATTCTATGTCTCCATTCCTGTCATGTTAATTGGCAGTGTTCGTCGTATCGCCTAGATGTTGCTCAAATAGTGCTCATACACCTGCCTGCCCGCAAATTGCGCCCTGCCGCCTAGCTCCTCTTCGATGCGAAGCAGGCGGTTGTACTTTGCGGTGCGTTCCCCACGGGCGGGCGCGCCGGACTTTATCTGGCCGGCGTTCGTGCCAACCGCGAGGTCTGCTATGGTTGTGTCCTCCGTTTCGCCGGAACGGTGGCTGATAACAACGCCCCAGCCCGCATTCTGCGTCATCTTCACGGCGTTCAGCGTCTCGGTTACCGTCCCAATCTGGTTCAGCTTGATGAGCACGGCATTGCCGGCATTCATCGCGATGCCCTTGCGGATGAGTTCGGTATTCGTGGTGTACAGGTCATCGCCGACGAGTTGCGCCCTGCCGCCTATGGCATCCGCCATGACGCTCCAATTATCCCAGTCGTCTTCCGCGATGCCGTCTTCGATGCTGACAACCGGGTAATTGTCCACCCAGTCCTTGTAGATGCCAATCAGCTTGTCGGCGGGGTAGTCGTCTCCGCTCAATTCAGACGCCGCCACGTCCAGCGCAATGAAGCACTGCTCGCCAGGGCGGTATTTGGCGCGCTCAATGGCCTCTATCACAAGGGCGACCGCATCTTGGTTATCTGGTAGCGCCGGCGCAAAGCCGCCCTCGTCGCCCACGCTAGTGCTGAGGCCGCGCTCACGCAGCGCATCCGCAAGCGCATGGTAAATCTCCACGCCCGCCCGGAGCGCTTCCCTGAATGTGTCGAAGCCCGCCGGAACCACCATAAACTCCTGAAAGTCGGTGGAGCCCGCCGCGTGCGCGCCCCCGTTGATAATATTCAGCATAGGCACGGGCAGCGTGAGCGCGCCATCACCGCTGATGCGCTCGTACAGCGGCTTACCCTCGCTCTGCGCTGCGGCGCGTGCCGCTGCCATAGACACGCCCAATATCGCGTTGGCACCAAGTTTGCTCTTATTCGGCGTGCCATCTATCTCGATCAGCAGGTTGTCCAACGCTACCTGGTCCAGCGTGGACATTCCCAAGACGGCAGGCTTGATGTGCTTGTCGATATTCTCGATGGGCTGGAGCACACCGCGCCCTCTAAAGCGAGAGGCGTCGCCGTCGCGCAGTTCCAGCGCCTCGTTCGCGCCCGTGCTCGCGCCGGACGGAACGAGCGCCCGCCCGACGGTGCCGTCCGACAGCGCGACATCCACCTCGACCGTCGGGTTGCCCCGCGAATCGAGGACTTCTCTTGCTTTCACATCCGAAATTGTCGTCATACTGTCCTCATCTGTTATATATCTCAGGCATGGTCGATCTGCCTGCGGCAATATCTGCCAGTCGCTGCTTTGCGGCGGCGATCGCTTTCTCAGCGGCATCGGCAGCGTCCACGGCACGAATGATGGCGCTGTCGGCTGGCTCACGGCTGCGCGTCATTTCCCATGTCTCCAGCCCCACGACGGGTATTCCATCTCCAAGCGCATGCCCTATCTCGGAAAGCGTGCCATACGCGCCGCCAACCGCCACAGCCGCCATTCCCGTCTTGACCACGACGGAATTGCGCGCGTAGCCGATGCCGGTAATTATGGGGACATCTATGTAGTCGTTGGCAGTAAGCGGATTGTCGCCCGGCATGATGCCTATAGTCGTGCCGCCTGCCGACTTCGCGCCCCTGCAAGCCGCCTCCATCACGCCGCCAAGGCCGCCACACACGATCGTGACACCGCGATTGGCAAGCTCAATGCCGACCTGCTCAGCTAGCGCAGCAATGTGCGGTCGCGCGTTGCTCTCGCCTATTACGGAAATAATTAGTTGTCTGTCCATTTGCCAATCGCCTGCAATTCTGTGTCAAGTCAAGCACTCGCACCCGATTATAGTACATGCACTTGCGGCGATGGGCGAAAAACACTAGGGTTGTGTCTAATGGATGTTCCCGCTTGTGCGGGGATGCGCCTGCTCACAAGCGTACACACGCAAGTGTACACACGACTATTCTGAATTCAATGACGAGGCGCCATGTTTCGACGCATGAAACGCGCTGAGCGCACCGGACCCGTTCCATCCGTCGTCATTCTGGGCGGCGGATATGGCGGTGTTTACGCTGCCCTTGAGTTGCAGCCTGCGGCAAAGCGTGGCGAAATCGAGCTTACGCTTATCAGCAGGGAGAACTTTTTCCTCTTCCAGCCGATGCTTGCGGAGGTCATCACCGGCTCAATCAGCCCGCTCAATGTCGTCAGCCCCATTCGCCGCATCGTTCCTCACGCGCACGTGCATCAGGCGGAGGTCGAGTCGGTCGATACCGACAATCACGCTGTGGCGATTCGCCACCCCGGACATGCTCGCCTCACTTATATCCCCTACGACCACCTGATATTCGCCGTCGGCAGCGCAACCGACCTCTCGCAATTCCCCGGCGTCGAGGAGCATGCGATGGGGTTCAAGACGCTCGGTGACGCCTTCCGACTCCGCAACCACCTGATCAGCATGCTGGAAGCCGCCGATGTGGAGGATGATCCGTTCTACAAGCGCCAATACCTTACGTTCGTCATTGCGGGTGGAGGCTACACCGGAGTCGAGGTTACTTCCGAGATTAACGAGTTCCTGCGCATGGCGAGCAAGAGTTACCGAAACATCGACCCCGAAGACTTTCGGGTAATCCTGCTGCACAGGTCTGGGCGCATACTGCCGGAGCTTGGCGAGAGGTTAGCGAATCTCAGCCACAGACTGCTGGAAAGGCGGGGCATACACATTCGCCTGCACGCCGCACTAACGGGCGCAACAGGGCAGAGCGCGCTGCTGACCGACGAAGTTTATATCCCCACAAAGACGCTTGTTGCCACCATTGGCGCGTCCCCCAACCCGATTCTCGCCGACCTGCCGTGCGAACGCGAACGAGGACGCCTCGTCGTTGACGAGACGCTCGCGGTGAAAGGCGGCGACGACCTCTGGGCTGTCGGCGATTGTGCGCTTGTGCCCGATGTGCTGCGCGGCGGGTTCTGTCCGCCTACGGCTCAGTTCGCGCTGCGGCAGGCGAAGTCCGCCGCTCAGAATGTGCTCGCGACGATTCGCGGCAGACCGACAAAGCCGTTCAGGTATAAGAGCCGGGGAGTGTTCGTGCCGCTTGGCGGATTCGCGGCAGCAACCGAGACATTCGGACTGGAACTCTCAGGATTTATTGGATGGTGGCTGTATCGCACTTTCTATCTGCTGCAATTGCCGCGCATCGAGCGCAAGCTGCGCGTGGTAACCGACTGGACGCTCGACCTGATATTTCCTCCCGACATAGTCAAGGTTGACATCGACCGCGACCACGGGACATCCCGGCGACACTATGAAGCGGGCGAGTACATCTATCAAAGTGGAGACATTGCTACGGAGTTCTATGTAGTGCTTGCGGGTGAGGTCGAAGTTCTGCGAGAGGGCGAAGGGCGCGAATCACAGGTAGCTACCTTGAAAGTCGGCGAGTATTTCGGCGAGATGTCCCTGTTGAGGGACATTCCGCGCTCGTCGTCCGTGCGGGCTAGTACCCGCGTCGAGTTGCTTATAATGACGGGGCGAGGACTTTCTCGCGCTCGCGTCATCGTCCTCGCTGTTCGGAGATCTGCTTCAGTCAGTCGTTCAGGAGCGCAACACCATCAATATGGCAAACGAGTCCAGAGAGACTTCGCCGCGGTAGCCCATCTTACGGCGTCCGCTCTCGACCATGCTTTTGAAGGGATACATTAAAATTTGCTAATTCTATTTCGCAGGCGTTCCACGGACAAGCAGCGCTCAGCCGTCAGCGGCAATGTGCTCATCACCGGCGCGTCTTCCGGCATTGGCAAGGCAACTGCGCTCTACCTAGCCGAGCGCGGCTACAATGTTATCGCAACGAGCCGTGATGCTTCTCGCCTTGAAGAGCTCCACACGGAAGCGGCAGAGCGTGGCGCATCCATTGTTGGCATAGAACTCGACATCAACTCTGATGCAGCCGTATCGCGCATCGTGCCTGAGTTGATAGCACAGCACGGCACGATAGACGTGCTGGTCAAACAATGCGGGCTTCGGTCTATGGGGTCCAGTGGAAATCCTGTCGGATGCCGAGCTAAAGGACCAGTTCGAGACGAACTTCTTCGCGGCAGTTCGCATGATGCAGGCTGCTCTGCCCGCGATGATAGAGCGACGCAGTGGCACAATCGTCAACATCAGTTCGGTGCTTGGACGCATGGGCACGCCGTTCAACGGCGCGTATGTGTCCAGCAAGTTCGCGCTCGAAGGCATCAGCGAGTCGCTGAAGATCGAAGTGCAGCCCTTCGGCGTGCGGGTGGCGATGGTGCAGCCGGGCCTGTTCCGCACAAACTTCCCCGACAATTCGGTCAATGGCAGCGCAACAGAAGACGAAAGCCTTGTCTATGCGCCGCACATCGCCCGCTATAACCTCAACCGTGATGCCTTCCATTGGTTCGGCGGCAATCCTGTGCGCGTCGCGAAGGTCGTGCATAAGGTCATCACATCGCCCTCACCTAACTTCCGCTATCCGGTCGGTATAGATGCCCGCGCGGGCATGCTCGCGGCCAGGATGCTGCCAGAGCGCATTTACTGGCGAATTCTCAGCAAGGCTACGATGCGCGAGTAGGCGTGTCAGCCTATCACGCCCTGCTCTCTCATCTGTTCCACCTCTTCCGCCGTGCAGCCGAGTATGGTCGTTAGCACCTCGTCGTTGTGCTCGCCATACCGCGGCGCGCGCGTAACCGTATCATCCTGGTCCGAGAGCTTGATTGGACAGCCTAGCATCGTGTAGTCACCGCGCGCATCATCCTCCACACTGACGACCATATTCCGCGCAATCAGCTGCTCGTCTTCCAGCAGGTCGTTGGAGTTCATGGTCGCCCCGCGAGCACTCCCGCACCCGCTAAAATCTTCATTGCCTCGTGCTTGGTGTGCTTGCGCGTCCACTCCGAGATAATCGACTCGATCTCGTCTGCGTGCTGCGCCACAGAGTCGTAGTCGGCGAAGCGTTCGTCGCCTATCAGGTCCTCCCTGCCCATCGCTACGAATAGCAACTCCCACATCTCGCCGCGCGGGAATATCATGACGTAGTCATCATCGCCGCCCGGAGCGCAAGGGTAAATTAGGGGAATCCCCCTGCCCGCTCGATGGCCGCGCCGCGCCTCCGGCAATTTCAGTCCCAGAACCGGCGTCATCTGCATTCGCATCAGGTTCACGACAGCGTCCTGCATCGCAACCTCCACGCGCTGCCCCTCGCCCGTTATGTCACGCTTGCGTAATGCAGCGAGGATACCAATAGCGGCGTGCAGTCCGCTACCAGAATCACCGACGCCCGGCGACAGATACACCGGCGGCCTGTCGGGGTAGCCTGTGGTAGCCATCGCGCCGCCGACCGCCTGCGCCACCATCTCCCAGCCCTTGTACTCCGCATACGGCCCGTAGCTGCCGAAACCCTTGATTGCTGCATAGACTAAGCCGGGGTTGATTTCGTGCATCACATCCCAGCCGAATCCCAGCCTGTCCAGCATGCCGAGAGAGTAGTTTTCAACAAGCACGTCCGCCCACTTCAGCAGCCCTGTGAACAGCTCTCTGCCTTTTTCGGTCTTGAGATTGATGCTGACGGCGCGCTTGTTGTTGTTGAATATCAGGAAGTAAAAGCTGTCGGAGTCCTCGCTATGGCGCAGGTCCTTGCGTGTGGAGTCGCCGCCCCACACATCTTCCAGCTTGATGACATCCGCCCCCAGAAACCCGAGCATCTGCGTACAGGAAGGTCCTGCTTGCACATGTGTCAGGTCCAGAATCTTCACGCCTTCCAACGCCTTGTCCATGAGTTTTCTCCCTTCAAGACCATAAAGCCAAGATCATAAGGCTAATCACTGACGAGCCGCCAATTCGCTAGTGCGCTCGCGCCCGATGTCCAACGCAGCCATAGCAGCCACATCGCAAGCGTTGCCACCGCCATAGCTGTCTGCCAGACCGCCAGATGCGCCGTATCGAAGTGCTCTGGAAAGTCGACGCCCATAAGCAGCAGCGTTATTACGCGCACAAGGTTCAGCACGCATAGCGCCGGAACACCCAGCAGCAGCGCACCGATACGCGACTTGAGCGATACAGGCCAGACGATGACTGCAGCGCCGAACACCAGAATAAGCTCGATGGCAGTGCACTCAGCGGCGACAACTGCGACAAATCCGTCCGCATTTATGACCGCGCCATCCAGCGACGCAGGAACGCCCAGCATGCCAAGCGCGAAACCTGCCATGTATGCCAACCCCCGCGCCAAGGCGTCAACGCCCGGTATGTTCACCGTTCCGGCGATGACACCTCCGGCTGCAATAAGGCTTGCGCTAAATATGCCTGCGCGGACCGCAATATTCAGTGGATGCACTTGCCTTGCCCTACGTCTGCTTCAGCGCGCGTGTTGCGATGTACACGGGAGTGTACCTGGACAGCAGGAACTCGTGGTCATTTTCGCTGCGTTCATGCGGAATCCGCTTGTCCTCATAGAAGCCCGTGATGACGAACCCCGCGTCAATCTGCCCGCCTATCTGGTCGGTCAGCGTGTGCCCGAACTCGAACGCCTCTCCCTCATCCAGCCAGCGTTGCAACTCTTCTTCCGACAGGCTCTCGATGTCCGAGTACGGCAGGGCATACCTGACCGCAAATTCTCCCGTCTCTTCGATGCGAGCGCGGTCGAAGATGAACTCGATCGGGTTGATAAAGCCCGCCATCAACACGCCGCCCGGACGCAAGACTCGATACGCTTCACGCCATACGGGAAGCACACCCTCGGCGAATAGGTTCGATATGGGATGAAACACCAGGTCGAAGCTGGCATCCGCAAACGCCGATAGGTCAGCCATGTCGCCCTGCACGGTGTTGATTGTCAGCCCCTCACGCTCTGCGACGAGCCTGTCCTGCGCCAACTGTCGCAGGGAATTATCGTATGAGGTGACATTGAAGCCGGCAGCCGCGAGAAGCGGAACCTGCTGACCGCCGCCGGCTGCGAGGCACAGGGCATCATTGCCCGGGATGCCCTCAAACCACTTTGAAGGTACCGGCGTCTTGTCGGTCAGCCACACGCCCGGCAGGGCCTGCCGGGCTGCGGCGATTGCGTCTCCATCGACCGGCACACTCCACTCTATGCCACCTTCCACATACTTGTCCCACGCCGCGCTGTTGTGCTTTACGATGTCCAATAATTCCCTTCCTGATCCCAGTCGCCATGCCCACAAATGACGACTATTTACTCGCCTAACGAATCAAGGCGATTGACCGTCGAAAACCGACTGCCAATCATTGCAAACAGACCGCTTTCATTATAACCTTTCGCCATCGCAGTTGCGCCGAGGGCAAAGACCTCATGGCCTGTTGTCCGGAGGCGGAGCGCAGATGCGAAAGGAGTGACGATGAACCCTGATAAAGTGAGGCTTGGCATCCTCGTCGGCGGTGGGCCTGCGCCCGGCATCAACAGCGCTATCAGCGCCTGCACGCGGGAAGCGATCAACAATGGCGCAGAGGTGTATGGCATCCTGGACGGCTTCAGCCATCTAATGGACGGCAGCACCGAGCATGTCATTCCTTTGACAACGCCTGATGTGGCGTTCATCCACTCCGAAGGCGGGGCAATCATCCGCACATCCCGCGCCAATCCGACGCGCAATTCCACTCACATGCGAAACGTAGTGGACGCGCTGCAAAAGCTCGGCATCACGCGCCTCGCCTCCATCGGAGGAGAGGATACGGCATTGTCGGCGGCAGAAGTTGCGAAAGCGTCCGGCGGCAAGCTCCGCGTGGCGCATATTCCAAAGACAATCGACAATGACCTGCCGCTGCCGGGCGACATTCCTACCTTTGGATTCGAGACGGCTCGACATCTTGGAACGCAGTTAGTGCAGAACCTGATGCGGGATAGCCGCACCACAGGCCGCTGGTATGTCGTCGTCGTTATGGGCAGAAAGGCAGGCCACCTCGCGCTTGGAATGGGCAGCTCCGCCGGCACCGCTCTGACTGTCATACCTGAAGAGTTCCCCAATCCTGTTATCGGAATTGAAGATGTGGTCAAGCTGATAGAGGGAGCAATGCTAAAGCGCAAGGCGTCCGAAGGGCGAGACGACGGCATCGCCGTTATCTCAGAGGGCGTCGCCGAACGCTTTTCATTGGACGAGCTTGGCAACCTGTCCGGCATCGTCGTCCCACGCGACCCGCACGGTCATATCCGCCTCGGCGAGCTGCCGCTGGCGCCCATGATACGCCGCGCGGTGCAGAACCGCTTCGCCGAAGCCGGCAAGAACATCGGCATGGTGGATGTGACCATCGGCTACGAGCTGCGTTGCGCCTCGCCCATATCCTTCGACATCGACTACACCCGCAGCCTTGGCTATGGCGCAGCGCGCATGCTGCTCAACGAACCGTCAGACGACAGGTTCGCCAATGGCGGGCTGATCTACCTCGACGGTGAGAACCTAAACACACTGACCTTCGATGAAATGCGCGATCCCGAAACCGGCAGGACGCGGGTGCGCATGGTGGATATCGAGTCTGAGCGATACAAAGTCGCCCGAGAGTACATGATGTGCGTCCAACCACGGGACCTGGAGGATGATACGCTCGTAGAGAAAATGGCAGAATACAGCAACCGCAGCACGGATGAGATCAGAGAGCGGTTCGGTGTCAACAGTGCATAAGTTTGAACGCAAGAGATAAAGCTAACGACCAGACAAGAATAGAGGAGGAACGAAATTGGCAGAGCACAAAGTAGCATACATAGGCAGGTCAGCTCCCGACACCACTCTCATAGAGAACGGTCTTGAAGGGCTGGATTACGAAATCGACATCAGCATCGTCGAGACGCAGGGCGAGATCATCGAAGCCTGCAAGGGCGCCGATGTCATTCTTAACGGCGGCGTCGAGATGCCCCGCGAGGTCATCGAGGAGATTGACACCGCGCAGGCAATCATCGTGGGCAGCCACGGCTTCAACCACATTGACCACAACGCCGCGACCGAACAGGGCTTGATGATTATCAACAGCGCGGGATTCTGCACGGAAGAGGTGTCAAATCACGCAATCCTGATGCTGATGGCTTGCGCCAAGAAGCTGACCATCCTGCACAACTTAGTGCGCGAGGGCAAGTGGGGCGCGGAGACCCGCGACGCCATTATGCCGATGGCGCCCATCGACGGGCAGACGCTCGGTCTCGTAGCATTCGGCAACATCGCCCGCGCAGTCTCGCGCAAGGCTACGGCGCTCGGCATGGACATCATCACCTACGACCCCTACTGCCCGCCCTGGATTACGAAGGAATACCGCGTCAGGCCGGTTGCCTCGCTTGAGGAGCTTGCAGCAGATTCGGACTTCGTGTCGGTGCATGTCCCGCTCAACGACGAGACGCGCAAGCTGATTGGCGCAGACTTTTTCAAGGCGATGAAGCCCACCGCCTACTTCGTCAACACATGCCGGGGTCCCACCGTGGACGAGGCCGCGATGATTGAGGCGCTGCGAAACGGGGAAATCACGGGCGCAGGCCTGGATGTCTTCGAGGAAGAGCCGACACCGGCGGACAACCCGCTGCTCAAGATGGACAATGTGATAGTTACCCCGCACTCCGCAGGAAGCTCCAACAACTCGCGCACCGCATCGCCGATCCGCGTAGGGCAGGAGACCGCGCGTGTGCTGAAGGGCAGCTTCCCGATGTCCCTCGTCAACCCAGAGGTGCGCTCGGCGCTGCCGATACGCGAGGCTGCGCTCAACGTTTAGGCCATCAATGTTTAAGGAGTATCAGCCTTAGCAGCAGAACAGAGTACAACAGGCTTACTCAACTCAATTGCGAGGACGCGATAGGCGCATGGCTAAGAAGCGGAAAAAGAAGAAGCCTCAACAGGGGAAGCGCAAGAACCAGAAGAAGCAGCGGAGTATCGGCGCTTCCCCCAACTGGCACTGGGAGCGCATCAGCGGATATCACCCTGCGTACTGCACCTGCGCCGCTTGCGTTAACCTGCGAACCGGAGGTCGTACCAGCCGTCCCCGTCAGGATGATACTAGCAGGGACACCCTGGCAGGTGACCTGTTGCTGCTCGATGTGCTGAGCGAGTTAGACTCTCGCCATGACAGCAGTCCACGGGACAATCCAGGGACGGACAAAGAGAGTCACTGAACCCGCAATCAGTAACCAAGTCAGGGCGTTCATAAGCATTTATAAGTATTCAGGAACAGGATAGACGCTTCAAAATCGCTGCCTATCCTGTCCCTCCATATCTTCTACTCCACGGTTAGCACCAGCTTGCCAAAGAAATTACGCCCTTCCATCGCTTCGTGCGCCTTTGCAGCGTCCTCAAGCGCGAACGTCTCGTGTATCACCCCACGAATCGTGCCCCTGCCCGCGAGCGCGACTATCTGCCGCAGGTCTTCCTTGCGTCCCATAAACACGCCGAAGACGGTCTGATAGCGCAGGAACATCAGCCCCATCTGCAAGTCCGCCCTGTACCCGCTCGTAACACCGCAGATGCCATATCGCCCACCCATCGCAAGCGACCTGATAGCCGCCGGATAGAAGTCCTCTCCCACATGGTCTAGCACCACATTCACGCCCTGTCCGCCCGTTATCTCTTTGACGCGCTCGGCAATGTCCTCGCTCGTGTAGTTGATGACTTCATCCGCGCCGAGTTCCCTCGCCTTCTGCGCCTTCTCCTCGCTGCTCGTCGTCGTGATGACCTTCGCGCCCAGCACATTCTTTGCGACCTGAATACCTGCCGTCCCCACGCCGCTCGACGCCGACGGGATCAGCATCGTCTCCCACGCCTTGAGCTGTGCCCTGCGAACAAGTATCGTCCAGCACGGCAGGAACACCGTCGGCAGCGACGCCGCCTGTACATACGACAGCGCATCCGGTATAGGCTCCACATTGACCGCAGGCACGCTCACATACTCGGCATAGCCACCGCTGAGCGTCGAGCCAAGCATGCCAGCCCTGACGCAAAGCTCCTCTTCCCCCGACAGGCAGAAGCGACACTGGTTGCAAGTAACTCGTGGGTTCACAACCACGCGCTCCCCTGCGCTGACGCGGCTTACCTCGCTCCCACCTCGACAACATCGCCCGCCACATCGCCACCGAGCACATGCGGACCCTTGAAGCGTATGCGCGTGCCGCGAGCGCCCTGCCGAGTATATAGATCCAGCCTGTTCAGCGCGCATGCTCGGACGCGCACCTTGACGTCGTTGGGCCCAATTTCAGGCTCCGGCACGTCGCCGTAAGTCAGCGCCTCCGTGCCCCCATGCTCAGTGATATATACAGCCTTCATTCCATCCTCCAGTTTCTGATTTCGCAAGAAGTGTCATTGTATAGCACGAACCGCAACCACTTGGAAGACAGAGGCTGGCAGCGAGCACGCCTTCGTATTCTGCTATTATACGACCATAAGAAGGTACGAGTTTCAGGAAAGAGGTGATTCCAAATGACCAGCCGTTACGAAGAACTATTGATGCCCGAACAGCGCGACAGGGTAGTAGAGAAAGTGGTCACCGCGTTGAAGACACAGGGGAAATTACCGACAAAAACGCTTAACGATTTCAGGGATTTATTCAAGGCGGGGAAACCCATTCCAGGTTTCAACAACGACCCGCTTCGGGCAATGTCTCCTCTGTTGAAGCAGCAATTGCTGGAACGACTGGACCTAAACCCTGACCTCGAGGGCCTCATAGTGTCGACATGGGCAGATACGGAGCCGCAGCTGAGAGAAGCAGTCAGTGAGCGTATCGACAGCTTCGATCCCCAATCTCACGAAGGCGACGAGATAGACGAAGAGTTATGGGACGCTCAAGTCAGTATGCTCGCAGCCGAGAACAGCGACTACGAAGAAGACGATATCCTGCTGATGATGAAAATCTGCTTTGCCCACGCCAAGATAAAGGCAGACTCCGACAGGGAAGATGGCGAAGTTGGGGCTGAGACCAAGCCCGCGCCACGCGATCCGTTCCCCATGGAAGAAACGCTCGATGCCGTGCTTGAATCGCTGCGTGACATGCCTGCCGGCTTCCCACAGTGGAGCGATGCCGTTCCGCGTTTCGTAGCATCGCTCAACGAACTCATCGATGAAAAGCAGAATGAACTGATTCAGGTCAGGGGATTGATGACCGACCTGGACCACATCCAGGACGCATTCGAGACGGAGCTCTTGCCTTCTTCAGACATGGAGGCGAAGAATGGGACACGCCCGTTGTCGCTATGCTCCTTGCGGTGGACAGCGGCATCGACGAATCCACTCGCAGACTCGCCGAGTTGAAGGATGCCCTTGCCTCGTACCACCAGATCAAGGAACGCGCGGACAACCTTGCCGAAGAGCGCGAACGCCGCGAAAAGCGCCATGACCTCGAGGAAACTATCGAGGGCATGCTGCACGAGATTGACAAACTCTCTCATGCTGCAGCCGCAGAAGCAGAACCCGCTGCAGCACCTGCAGAGGACATCCAGCAACAGGCGCAATCCGAGGCAGACTCCCAGCTACGGGAAGAACTCAATGCCCTCAGAGGGGAGTATGAATCTCTCCTCAGCAGTAACCACACCCTCAAGCAGGATAGTGCTTCAATAGAAGACAAAGTCCGCGCTCTCGAAGGTGAAATTGCTGGACTCAACGCCGACAAGTTGACACTCACCGAAGAAGTAGCTGAATTAAGAGACCAGTTGCGTATAAGCGAATCACAGACAGCAAACTGGCGCATACCTATGAAGCTGAGGTCAAAAGCAAGGACGCATCCGCACCCGAACCCATTCCTGCGGAAGTTGAAAGCCTGAGGCGCGCGGTGGATCTGGCGAGGGCGCGTTATGGCGATAGGCTGGTCTTCAGGCTCAACAAGAAGTCGGATCAGGATTACAACTACAGCAGGCCTAAGGAAGTCTGGGATGCTCTGGAATGGCTGGCGACGACTTACCACGATTCACAGACGGGCGAGGCACAGACTATCGACCTGAACGAGTCAATCCGTAATACCTGCGGCGGCTGGGAGTACAAGTCCAACCAGACGGACATCACTTTCAACATGTACAGGAGTGGTACACGACGACAAAGGACGGCAAGACCTACGAGTTGCGTAAGCACCTCAGCAAGGGCACCGGAAGGGACGCTAATGTTATTCGCATTGCGTTCGCATGGGATGAAGACTCGGAGCGCGTAATCGTCGGCTTCGTGGGTCCTCACCAGCGCAGCCGCAGTTCGTAAGCACATTTCTTCAGCCACGAGCCGCGCTGATTCCTCAGAGCGTATTGGAGTTGGCGTGCCTGTGGGGGTATAATCGCCCCAGATTTTCGATGAAGCATAATACACCCCGAATGCAGGAGGTATCCTATGGAGTTCGGATTTGGAGTGCCCAGTCGCGGCCCCTTGGCGTCGCTGGAAAACATCATCACTTTGGCGCAGCAGGGCGAGCAGATGGGCTTCGACATCCTCACCGTCAGCGACCACATTGTCGTGCCCACTACCATAGATTCCATCTACCCATATAACGAGACGGGGAGTTCGTCAGCTCCGCTTCAGGCGAATACATGGAGCAGCTCGCCACAGTCAGCTACCTCGCAGGAGTCACATCCACCATCAAGCTGCTCACATCCGTCATGGTGCTGCCCCACCGCAGCCCGGTACTCACCGCCAAGATACTGGCGACCATCGACGTGCTGTCGAACGGCCGTCTGATC